TCGACTTGTAAAATAAAATGTAAGCGGAACAGATGGAAATCCTGAATTCAGACTGCGCGGAAATGCCGCAGGCTGGTGAAGGGAATCCATGTTGGTTTTTCGAAACGGCCATGGGTTACGGCACATAATAGAGCCTGGTCAGAATTGCATTGATATGGCCGGGATGTTTCAAACTTGGGACCGGGGCTGGTGTACTGATTGTTAAGGTAAATTTTTCTATTTCCATGCCCAGCAACGTTTAAAGGGGGTTTTTTTTTAGGGGAAATACAATCATAAACTGCAATTTAATCACCACTGACATCTTAAAGGCCCATTTTGCCTCAGAAATGCTATCATATTTATTTTTCAAAATCTTTTTGATTTTTGGTATCTTGCTATTTTACAGTTTCCAATAAAAAATACTCATTTGCCATAATTATATGGACCATCTTTCACTTCTTCTGTTGGCAATGCGTATCATCATAAATGAGTATTTTGTATGGAAGTCTACTGCATATTTAGCGCAATTTTCTTCAGTAACATGCTCTTAATCCATTACTAAATCATTACTAAACAGATGTTTAACAGTCTTAAAGAATTACAAAGAAAATATGGATTCCTGAGCCATAATGTCCATAATAACACCATATAACAGAAATGAAAAAAATTCCATTTCTATTATCTATCCGCAAAAGGCATTACAACACCACGTAAGCCGACACTGGTATTGCTTTCTGTTGCCATGTTTTGAAGGCTGATTACAACCACGTAAATAATACAGGACTTCTACTTAAGTGTGTCAATGTATTTACCCCAGATTCGGATTCATAAGTCATTTTTTGTTTATTTTGATATCCTCGAAATGTTGAAATTTTTATTTGGGGGTTTATATATATAGCCATCTTAAACAGCTCACCAGGTGGGGGTATATAAATCATTGTGAAGTCTATATTAAATATCGACACAGTTGTCAGTTCGATTGCTGATATTAAAGTTTTTATTTGTTTTGGTGCGTATATATGTTAAATGAGGGTTTATTCGCATTTTCAGGCACTGAGAGTACGGACCCCGGACATGTCTCCATCCATTCCCTTAAAAGGTTTATAATTTGCCAAAAGATAACCTTTCAATTTGATTTTGCAGCAATTCAAGATCACGTGTGTAAATCACCATTACAATAGCTTATTATAATTAATTTTTCATCCGAAAGGACTATTATTAATTTTAGTTGAGTAGCGAGGTGGTGAATCGAACTTGCGACCCCTTGATTTGTAGTCAGACGCTGTTATCACAGCAAAACGGCACTTGCATTTAGTTGCTATAGCCTTTGGACAGAAACGAGTTTAAACAAATTGTATGTCAATTGCTGACATTCATTCATTATTTCAGGAGTTACAATATATAAAATATTATAGAAACAATTTATTTAAAAGAGAAACAAAAGAAAATCAGTACGACTATTTCCCACCAATGTAAGTCAAGTACCGGAAAAGGTATTGTTATACCAAACAAGCCCAGAACTCAAAAAATTACATATCAAGAACATAATGTAGTTCAAAACAAAGTTTTTTTGTGTCTGTCTTAATTAATAAAGGTTTGAGGCACGTCTTATTAATCCAGAAAATAAATTCTTTTTGGCGGAAATTAGGTAAAAAATAATGTTATCTGTTTGTGATGGTGGCTGATTTGGTACGCTTTTGTGCGTCGCGTTGGCGTTAGCGACAAAGCGCCAAACGGCGCGCTGTCGTCTTGTCATCCTGTCTCTAGCGCGATACGCAAAACGGCGCGGAGTCGTGCAGCGTGTAGTCGCGATTTCACATTGTTGTCGGTTCAAATTGAAGGATTGGATTATAAACCAAGCGACAGGGCGACAACGCGCCGCATGACAACACGCCGTTTGGCGTGCCGTGCTAGAGACAAGGCGACAGCGCGACAACTCGCCGTTTGGCGCTTTGTTGTGTTGTCGCTATAGCGACAGGTCGACAAAACGAAAGTCCGACAACACGCCGTTTGGCGCTCTGTCGTGTTGTCGCTAGCGCCAACTAGACGCACAAAACCGTACCAAATCAGCCACCATAGTTTGAGACGACTTTAGAGACCTGTTGTAATTAAAGATGACCATTTTTTGACCTGGATAAAGCAGTTATTTGTATGAAGTACGCTTAGTATGATATAAGTGGGTAAAATAATTTGATTTTTGTCAAAATGAAAGAGACTTAACTTTGAGTAAGTTTCAAACATGTACTTTTTTCTAAACAAATAACAATTAACTTTTATTATGTCCGTTTTTAAAAACGAAAAACGCAAAAATTAAAATGTAAACGTTGGGAAAAAGTCTGCCCCAAATAAAATTGTTTTGGGAACTTTTGTTTGAAGTAAAAGGGGAAAAGGGCAAGGTCAAGATTTAAAAAAAAACAAAAAATAATGGGAATTAAATATGTTTTTTGACAACAAAAGCAGCTTCCCGTAAAAAAAAAAAGTCAATTTGAAATTTGAGTAATTGGGGGTCAATATTCCCACAAGTTTTGACCTTTGGGGTCAAATTTTTTTTTTTTTGTTTAAATAAAGGCTGTAAAAAAAAAGTTTGTCTTTCTAAAAAAAACGGGCTTTCTTTTTTAATTTTTAAATTTTTGATTTCCCTTTTTTTTTTCTCAAAAATTTCAGGAAAAAAATATTCTGGAAAGTCATATTTCTTGGGAATTAAAACTAGGTTTTCTTTTCAAGTTACCGGTTTAAAGGGCTGTTTTGCCAAAAGGATCGCATTTTTGGGAGAATAATATACCAAAGTAATAAGAAGCAAATGTCCTTTAAAATTTTTAAACTTTATTAAGATAAATTCATTAACCCAAAAATTTAAAATCAGAAAAACAAACTGGGGGGAAAGAATACCAGGGTTTAATAGATCCAGAATCCAAATCCAGATGCTATTCCACAAATCACAAATCCATGGATTTTCTGTACAAATATGATGTAATGTAAGCCTCCGTTTAAATCATGTTTATGGTAGCATGGTATGATAAAAACAAGTATCTTCAAAACTGTATCCCAATGAATACTTTAAATCATTTTTATGTTGACATTAGTCGGTCAATTTCATACCGATTTGTCCTAATCCGGGTGATTCAAGATTTATTACAGGTCCTTAAATCAATGAAAGGCTCTCAAACTAGAGCGTTCAAGTGGTAGAAGTGTGTTTATATAGGACAGATACATTCTCAAGCATTGAAAATCATTGAAATGGTTTATTATAAACATTTACAAGCAATAACATTTACAAGCAATAGCATTTACAAGCGATGACATGTACAAGCAATAACATTTACATGCAATAATATGCATATCCTGGCTAATATTGTTACCTTCCATGAATAAAAAACCAAAACTTTTTATTTGTAAAACAATAAATCTTATAGATTTGACTTATCATATCATCGTAAAACAAATTTAAATTGCTGATAGTTGATGCTCAAATGCTATTCATTACCTTACTAATATCAAGTTATTGCGAAAGCTAGACAACGGCTGTCGCTCATTTCGGCGCTGTATGAAATAAGTAGAACATGTCAGTTAGTTATGAGTTTATAAGGACTTTACTAGTACTCACCAGATCTCTAATTCGAGATTTAAAGAGAAAATAGTGAACATATAAAAATGATAATCACTTTTAAGTGATAGACTTTTTCCATTCACTGCATTCAATTAAAACAAATGAGTTTTCTATAGATCTCCAATTTAAGCTATATTTTCTTTAGCTATTGTTTATAGCAACAGTAACACATTACCCAAACAATGACAATAAGTTACAAAGTTCTCGCCCGAGAATTATAGCCGCATGGTGGCTTTTTCGGTTGGCATTTAAAGTCTTTATATTTTCGTAAAAACACTATTTTCTACAGCTCACCATAAAAAAAACAACAACAATTGGTCAATTAGCTTTAACTATAGTTTAGATGTTCGTTGTTTCGGCAATGTAAGTTACAAATGAATGTGACCGTCAGAGGCCTGCATGACATGGTCACTTTTTTGGTTGGCAATTTGTTCTTTCTGTAAACATAGTATTCGGGTTTTAGTAAAAATAGCACCATTTTCTATAGCTCACTGTCCGAAAACCATTTGTCTGATTCCTTTGCGAATTAGCCATAATAATAGTTTGGAGGTTTGTTTTTACGGCAATATAATATACAAAGGAAAAAGCCCGCAGAGGCCAGTATGGCATGGTCGCTTTTTCAGTTGGCGATTTGTGTGAGTCTATAAATATATTGTGCTTAAAGTTCAAAAGAAGCGTTCATAATTGCTTACTTATTTGTGTGTCAATTAACAATGTTGGGCTTTAGCCTGTAGATAACTTTACATTATTTCGCAACATCAAACAACATGCCACCACTGATTTAATTCAATAAAATTGATATTCTAATGGGTATAAGGTTATATACGACTATGAACACCTATCATGATTTAAAATAAGCAAAAAAATACACTTTTTACATGTATGTTTATTAAACTCATCTTTCAACATTTTGTCACATTTAAAACAATTAGAATTTGCATTTATTAAACCATCTAAGTGTAGGATAAACAATACTTGTCACTTTTTATGCGGAGGGAGACCTTTGCAAGCCTGATTTGTTGGCTTCTGAGTCCACCAAACATTTTCGTGTCACCTTTTCAAAAATGATTTGAAACAAGAATTAATTAATAGCCAATTTAAGACCTTAATTCACACCAATCTCTAAACTAAAAATGAGGTTGCTTTTATTATAGACATAGATAACATGTTATCTAAATCTCTGGTTTTATATTTTTAAGTTGAACCATCGACATGGGCGTTTACCTATCTTTAGCATTGTTATGTTTTCCGAAAAGTTAAACATTTGAGCTAGGGATCAATAACGGCGCACATCTTTTGAACAGTTCTTTGTATATACATTTAAAAAAGATATCCGACTCGGGGTGCCAACGAATTCACATATCCCGTAATTACCGGATATCTTACTTTATTCTTTTCTTACGACTCTCCTCAATGGAGATATGAAGTAGTATCAACTTCCTGTGATAGAAAACTTTGTACTTTGTTATCAAAATTTTGATAAATAAACAATTATACGTGCATTTTTTCACTCATGTGACATAGGTTGGTAAATGTTCACTCTGTTTCATAATTTCAGACAACCATGAGCCGGAAAAGTTTTAAAATAGTTGGAAATAACGTTTCGAAGCATGGTTTAGACCCTTCGGTGGTCGTTCCTGGAACGGAGGCAGACGAGCATCAGGACGTAAACAGTCTCGAAATCATGAGAGACTTTGCTAAAGGTCCACTCGATGTATACAGACAAAATTCATCATTTAATTGGAAGGAAATGAAAATGTTCCTTGAAGGAGAGGACATTCTTAAATTTAAGGTAGGATGGATTCCGGTTATAGTTTTTATACAATGATATGTTTACTGTTTACTGTTTCCTTGGAGTATTGTAAGCACTTCTGTGCTTGTTGACTCCCTCGATCTCATGTTTACATTTGGTGTTCCGCTTCCGGTTGAAAAAATCACGCGGAAAAGTACGCGTCTAGGAATATATATCTTCCAGGTCAAACCTTTGATTCTGCCATGCTTTATCCAATTTACATTTGAATGAGTTAACACTATTGCTACAAACTATCGTTTCGTCCAGGTCATTCCATTTGTCGATTGCACGAGCAGGAAAAGCATTTAAGCGTATAGATTTTACACAACGGGGTTTGTTGAGGCGATATATGTGCCCCCTAGTGGGATTGTCATTAAACGAGAGTAACTTTTCACAGTCAAAATCTTCTAGACCATTAATTAGTTTATACAACTCAATCATATCATACCGTTTTCTCCTATACAGCATCGTTGGGAGATTAAGTTCTTTCAGTCTTTCAGAATAAGAAAGTCCTTTTAACTCTGGAACTATACGAGTTGCACGTCTCTGAATATTCTCAATGAGTTGGCTATTTTTCTTCGTACTTGGGAACCAAACAATGCACCCGTAGTCAATGATGGATCGTACCAAACTTTTGTACAGTGTTATAAAAAGTTTCTTATTCATAAATTGAAAAGATCTCTTAATTAAACCAATGAGTCTGTTACATCTATTTACCACACTTGCAACATGTTTATTAAACTTTAACGAACTTTCAAAAGTGATTCCGAGGTCTTTCAGGGGTGTGGAAATTTGATTTTTTTCCACTTGCCCACGGACAAGTTGGACTGAAATTTCTACTTGTCCGCAGGTGAAGTTGACTTGCCCAAATAAACAGTGAAAAACAGGTTTATTTCAATGGCTTTATTAGACAAACATTTTTTCTAAACATTTTCATAACTACTACCATGTTTGTACAGTTATAAATGAACAATTATACAAGAGTTGAAAGCAAACATTATTTAAACAGAACTGTTTTATTGTGTATGTGAACATATTGTCAATAGAATCATGGGTACATTCTACAAATATGACAAAAAAGTTTGTCCGAATGATCTTCCTTTCTTAGCCAAGAAAAATCGTTAAACCAGCTATCTTTAAACACACGCATGCGTTTACGGTCATATTCCTTGTCTCTTTGGGCTTTAGATTTACGCTTTTCTGGTTCTTTGGGTGTTTCAGGCAGCTTTGCACCACCAGAACGAACGACAAATTTGTCCATTTCGTACCAAAATAACTTTACAACGCGACCTTCACAATGGGCATCATTTACTAAAGCACCGGTTGGTTGCCTCGATACGACCTATTCCAAGAATAGCGAGAGGCCTCATACGGGGGAAAATAGCATTTATTTACATCGATTTATTCATGCTGAGGGAGGTAGTTTATAATTTAATTTTACGCATATTAAATACGGATTAAACATTATTGGGATAAAAATTAACGTTCGTTATCAATTTTATGTAAGAATTTTGGCATTTTGCTTTAATTTTCTGGCTCAGAAATTCACTTGCCCGCGGACAACCGCTACGTGAAAATCTACTTGTCCGCCGGCAAAAAGTCCCGAGTCGGGCAAGTCGGGCATAGTAATTCCGCACCCCTGTCTTTTTCTTCTGTGCATATTGGAATTTCAATAGTTTGTTTTTTACTGTCTCTCATGTGATATACATATTTATGTTTAACATTACCATACTGTATAAACTTACATTTTGGCACGGAAAATTGTAACAGCCACTTGTCACTCCAGTCACATAATTTCATCAAGTCTTTTTGAATTACTTGTTGGTCATTTGGTGAACTAATTGGTAAGTAAATCTTACTATCGTCAGCAAAAAGTTTACAATATGATTCAAGGCTGTCAGGCATATCATTCATGTATAAGATGAACAGTACAGGTCCAAGTACAGAGCCCTGGGGGATTCCTGACGACACGGGTTGCCAATCCGAGAAGTTGCCATTAATTACAACACGTTGTTTACGACCGGACAGAAATTTTTCGACCCACCTCAGAATTTCATCGTTAAAGCCATATGATTTCATTTTCAAAATAAGTCGTCTGTGTGGAACAGAGTCAAAAGCCTTTTTAATATCAAGGTACACAACATCAGTCTGTAAACTTGCATCAAAGTTTTTTACGAAATCATCAAGTACATCCAATAATTGCAGAATACAACTACGTTTTTCCCGAAATCCAAACTGACAATTTGAAAATAACTTGTTTGCGTTCATATGTTGCATAATAACATTCCTAACAGATTTTTCGCACAATTTACTTGGAACACAAGTAAGGGATACAGGTCTATAATTGGAAGGATCACTTTTTTCTCCTTTGTTTTTATATAGTGCACTAATATTAGCTTCTTTCCATAATGTGGGTACATCTCCTGTTTCAAACGACTTGTTAAAAATTTTACACAAGGGATCACTCAACTGTTGGCAAGCTTCTTGTAGAATACGAGGGTGACAAGCATCAGGACCCATGGATTTGTTAACATTTAAAGTTCTCAGCTGTTTTAAAACTGTTTCACTGTCAACCACTAGTTTTGATACAGGAGTATCATTATACCTTGCGTCAAATATGGGCAATAGTCCTGCAGGCTCTTCCACAAAAACAGATGCAAAAAATTCATTTAATAAATTTGCTTTTCCTGAATCACTATCGACAATGATCCCATTACTATCCTTCAAATCAGAAATACCTGACCTACTTTTAGTTCTCTCCCTTATGTATCCCCAAAAAGCCTTAGAATTTACATTCATATTTTCAGCAATAGATTTTTCAAACTTTCTTTTTGCATTCCTGACAGTTTTTGTACAATCATTCCTAGCCTTACAGTATATGTCAAAATCTCTCCTATTTCTTGTATGCACATAAGTTTGCCATTTTTTATATTTCCTTTTAACAGATTTCATACAATCACTATCCATCCATTTACTTTTTTTCATCTTTTTTGGATTCACAATGGGTACATATTTTTCTACACATTCACAAATTTTGTCAGAGAAAAACGTGTAACTTTCATTTGTAGACATGTTATCGATAATTTCCCAATTTGTATTAGACAATTCAAGCCTAATTGCCTCATAGTCACCTTTATGATAATTCCTCTTTACAGTATTTGAAGCAACATAGCTGGCATCACAGTCAATAGAGATAAACAAAGAAACATGGTCACTCGCTCCTAAGTTACTGCAATAATGAATGGAATTTACGATTTCTGGCTTGTCAGTTAAACACAAATCTAGAATATTTGATGACTGACCGTGCACGTATCGAGTTGGTCTGTCAATAAACTGGTACAAGAAATATGGATTAGGTAAAGCCTCAAAATGAACTCTTTGAAAGAAATTGTAGATCTAATACATTTCATTATTATGCCCATAATATGAAACAAGGGAAAGCCTATGAATGGGGATGTCAGTTAAAAAAATCTTTTATTTTTCTGTTTTAAAGGTTTCATTTGGTATTTCATGCATGCTTCCGTTTTCATTCAGAACACTCAATGATTATTATTAATCTGAAAAGTTATGATTGTCTGTTATCGGAATACCTCGTCTGTTATAATTAAGTTACTTTGAAAAAGGCGGCGCCCAACTAGAACTGACACTGAAAATTTCATTGATAGGTATAGAATTCCTTATATTTTTTAATTGATTTTTATTTGATTTCCTTTTAAATATTCACATGTAATCTATAGCCCGGCAAGCTAAAGCCCAGGGCCGCCTCGCGGACCATGATTTTGACTTCCCCTATAAATAAAGCCCATTATTATCCAGTAGTCAGCACACTCCAAAAAACCTTTACACAACCCTGCATCAATTACACAGTTTACATGTACATACAGGTATCAAGTGACATAGCGTCTAGACTCCCTACTACCATAATTGGTAAACATGAGGCAATCAATGTGTGTTAACAAATTGAGGTGACGTACCTAATGACCTGAGTAAACGGGATTAAGATTTGTGTCAGATTTTTTTTTATTACTGTTTATGAAGTGTCAACGGAAAATTTTTAAGGCAGCATTTTTTTTATTTCACCTTTCTATGGCTACAAAAACTCTCCGTGAAAATGTTGATACCTTTCATTTAAAGAGAAAAAACTTTGGCTGTTAAAGTATATTTATTTTAATGATTTTGAATGCATCAAATTCAAGTTTATTTGTACTAAAATGATTCAATATATATCTGATATAAAAATGTATTTTATATGATATACATGCAATTAATTATATTTGTTTTACAGGGATTCTTGTTTTATTTACATCAAATATTTAAAGTACCTATGTTTATTTTCAATTGTTTACATATTATTCCTTCACAGTCATGTATGTTAAAACTTGAAAATATCAAATGATCTTGTAGAAATGTTCATTTTCATAATAAAATGGGGGAAATTTAATTATATGTTTGCATCGTTTTAAGATTACGACTGGTTTGTGCTTGTTTAAAAATCCCCCTACTTTTGGTCCAAATCCCCTGCTTTTTAAAGCCAAATCCCCCTATCTGGGTGGCTGGAAATATGGCTATGCTGTACAGTCCTAGTTGACTTTTGTTGAATCCTCCTCAATTTTGATTCCTTGCCAAGTTGACAAACCATTGGCTTCCTTAAATAATGATGTTGTCAGTAAGGAAAAGGGTAGGTTACCCTTGACAGCACATCTGTTGAGCTTGCCACAGTCTTCAGGGTCATTTTAGTCTTAAATGAACATCCAGAGACTGACTGAAGTCTTCTTCATACATATTGTTGTTGTTGTTGCGGTAAACACTCTGAAAACTGAAGAGAAGATTTCATATATTGACTGTAAGATACACATGTGCAATTAGATTTATACAATATGTATTTATAGATTTGTATGTTGTATTGTGTTGTGTTATAAAGTTATATTAATCCACAGTCCACCTTAATGAATTCATACATATTCAACTTGATTGATGTATAAATTTGTTTGATAAATTTATACTTGGCTTTGAGGCTGGATTCATCAGTGAAAAAGAATGTTGTAGTGTCAGTGGAGAGATGCACAGAATTTATCAAACCTATATGCCCTTGTCCCTCTGTCACACTGTCCGTCCATAGACTGGCATCTAACAGAGGAATGTTGGGGCATCAGTGTCCATATATCAATCAACTGTGTCCTATGGACACAATTGTAGAATCGAGGGTTGACCGCAAAACTGCAGTAACTTTATATATGAAATAAAGTTTTACAGTCAACCCTGGGTACGTGTATGTATGAATTTGGTTCATCATGCATTAAACTTGATCTTTTTGACAAAATGTTGGCAATTTTCAGAATACTGTGTGGACAACACTCCAGAAAGACCCACTATACCACAAAAGCAAGGAAACTTTACCTTTGGAGAAACAAAGGGAGTTGAATTTCAAACGAGCAAAGAAACTTTTTGAATATGACTTTTTGACAGATGATGATATTTTTCAAAACCCATTAAAACACCAAATTATGACAGACTGTCTAGGGATGTATGATTGGTCCCTTTGTGCCAAATATCAGCTCAACACAGAGGTATTTTATATCTAATTTGTCTTTTGGACGGTAACTTTTAATCTATAATGTGGGGGCGTCCGTGGCCTAGTAGTTAAAGTAGTTGACTTCAAACCACTTGCCTCTCACTGCTGTGGGTTCAAATCCCGACAGGGACATTGGATTCTTTCATGAGAGGAGGCTATCCAGCTAGCATATGTAACGTAGGGTAAGGTGGTTCTATTGAGGTGCCTGCTTGTGCCTGAAATACTGCACGGAAGGGCACCTGAGGCCTTCCTTCACCAGTAAAGCTGGAACATCGTCATTTGACCTACACTGTGTCGGTGTGATGTAAAACCCAATCAAACAAACATAATCTATAAAGTGTTAGGTTCTGAACATGAATAATAAATATTTCTTATCTACGACTAAAAGTCCAAATTGTAAAATGATTTAAGGAGAAATAAACACAAATTGAGATTAAATACTAATTTTGACAAGTATTCTTAACAGAAAGAATTTTATATTAATTACAGTACACTGAATAAAAAAATACAGTCTTGATATGTATCACCTGAAGATGATGTTTCTATTTTACAACAAAAAAGATCTAATCTTTTATTATCTTTTATATTACCAGAAATTGATATATTTTTTAGTATTTTAATGTGAATGTTATTTACCTATTTGCAGATGTTTGGAGGAACTGTGATGTCTACAGGGTCCAAAAGGCACTTAGAGTTTGTTGAAAGAAACAAAAAGTTTGAGGTATATTGATTTTTGTCATATTTTTGTAAGCAGCAGGCCTCAAACAGTGAAATATTCTCCTATTTAGGCCCCAAACACTGTTTGCGTTTGGGAAATGTTGTTTTGGGGGGGATGAAGGGGGGCAGCAGCCCCTCATCGCCAAGAAAATTTTGGATGTGATAGACTAAAAATGGCCTCAGGTCGATCATAAGGTTACGTGTATTCTAAGCTGAAAAGCCTTTCACTCCATCTCAATCCATTGAGAAGTTGCAGCACTTTGAAATCAGTTTTGATGATTTTGGCAAATTTAAGACGTCCCCCACCCCCCGTTGCCTTGGTAACAGAAAATTTAAGATTGAGCATGCTGTTACAGAGGCTATGGTCCAGTCAACATTTGTGCCAAGTTTCATCAGTATTGAAGCATTTTTCATAGTTTCATAGCAGTTTGAACTTGTAACAGGAGGCTTTTCAATGAAAATGGCCATTTTTCACAATATGCTCATGAAGTAAAGGGTTAATCACAACAAAATTACATGAAAATTGCAGACTCTGTTTGAAAGACTGTACATGAGGGATAATGAAAATGTGCAACATCCCTCACGACACCTAGCCCCTGCTTGAGAGGTACTCAATTTTAAACTCTTAAAAGTACATGATACATGCTTTAGACTTTTGGACTGTGTCCCTATTTTTATGGTTTTTATTTTTGCAGAATTTTGGCTGCTTTGCTCTGACGGAACTGAGTCATGGGAGTAACACAAAAGCTATGAGGACAACTGCAAAATATGATCCAAAAGCACAGGTATTATAATTTATATTTCTTGTAGTTGTAACTATGTTTCTTATTTCTTAGTTAGATGCTTCATTACTGCAAAAAAGTTGGAAGTTTATACAGTCTTTTCTTCTTTGACAAGACATGCCAATTTGTTTAAATACCTTTTTAGGAACAGTTTTGTCAAGTGTAAAATTGGGGAAATAGGGGATGGGGAGGATGCAGCAACAGCCAAATTAGGAATATATTTATAGTGTTTTTGAATTTTTGGAAATCTAATTTGCAATAAAAATAGTCATTTCAATAGTCAATACAATACTCAGCAGACCAATTTAAGGAAGGAAAGAAAAGATTGTGTTTTAAAAGTTTGCTTTCTTTAGATTTTTTTTTTAGCTTTCCTATTATTTAACATGTAATTAATATGTCTAGCATAAGTACTGAATTATTATCTTTGATAAAGATATGTTACTCTTGTAAATATGAATATATCAGGATCTATAAGAGATATTGAAGATATTATAATACATGTATATGGCATAATACACTCTAAGAAAATGTAGTGTTAAAGTATTCACAAGTTTTGAAAATTTAAAAGAGTTTAAATGGAGCACCCCAATTTTTTTTTTTTTGAAGTATGCAATTGTTCGCAACAATTGTGTTAGCCTTTGTATGTAGTTGTAGCATGAATTTTACATTTTTCTGAATTTTTCAGGAGTTTGAATTGAACACCCCTGATTTTGAAGCATGTAAGATATGGTCAGGAAATATGGGGAAAACTGCCACACATTCTATTGTGTATGCCCAACTTTATACAGCAGATGGTAAATGCCATGGTCTTCATTCTTTTGTGGTGCCGATTCGAGATGAAAACCTCCGAACTCTGCCAGGTGTGATGGTGGGAGATATGGGAGAAAAATTAGGGCAGAATGGTCTTGACAATGGGTAAAATATGTTTTTCTTGTAAGAATAAATCACAAGAAAACTTTAAAGCTCAGGTGCCCCTTTCATGCATTATTTCAGGAACATGGAAGCATCAAAGTAGAACCATCAACATTTCGCAATCTAGCTGCATAATTTCCTATTAATAAAAAGGAATCACTGAAAATATTCTTTTAAACTTTAAACATGTCTTCAAGTTAGGGATCATAATTGTGATACATCTCTTTGTAAACTTAAAGAACTTACAGAATATTGCATTATCCTGGTGCTTTTTTCCCTATAATGCATTGAGAATAGCTAACTTAGCATGTTTTATAGGAAAACGTGTTGACTTTTACTATTCTATGTTACAGTTTCCTATCATTCAACAAATACAGAATTCCTAGAGAAAACTTGTTGAACAAGACGGGTGATGTTACACCAGAGGGACAGTATGTTACACCTTTCAAGGTACATGTATACCATTTTGGATTCATATAATCATATTCTGCCTTACTTGTATACATATTACATCATTTATAACCAGGGTCCTATATGGTCAAGAGGTACAAGTTGCTTACTTTAAATATCATGTCACTCACAACTGTGGGGTTGTTTTTTTTGACAGGGACTTTGGATTCTTTCATGGGAGTATCGTGGCTAATAATACCTTATAGAAAGCCTGTGGTTCTACCAAGGTGCCCACTCATGCTCGAAATAATGCACAAAGGGGCATCTGAGTTGTTTCTCCATCATACTTATGTTTATATGGAATATATACATTGGGTAATCGACGATGGTTAATCTGGAAAATTGCCATATATAAACCTTAACACTGTTGGTGTGACTTAAATCCCATCCAGATACACATCAGTTATATTTTAACAGGGCTCAGTATCTCATGTTTACATTGTCACTTTTGCAACATTTTGTAGGATCCCAATAAGAGATTTGGTGCTTCTCTGGGAGCTCTGTCTGGTGGTAGAGTTGGCATAACAGGAATGGGTGCATGTAACCTGAAATTGGCCGTCCCCATAGCAATACGATATTCTGCTGTGAGAAGACAATTTGGACCCGAGGGCGGAGAAGAAATACCAGTGTTAGAATATCAGTTACAGGTACTACATGTTTCTGTTTTTAACCAGGTTTTCCAAAGGAAAAAACTGGTTATTAGATTGAGGTATGTCAGCGGGCGGATGGGCGGGCGGGCGTTAACAATTTCTTCTGTGCGCAACTCCTCCTACATTTCTCAACGGATTTTGACCAAACTTTCACAGAAGCTTTGTCATTAAGTGCCCTGGCGCATATTGTCTGGGTTTTGTGATTGGATAATATTTGACCTAATTATGGCCCTTTGTTTTTTTTCCTTATCTAGAATATATAGTGAACAATTTCTTCTGTGCGCAACTCCTCCTACATTTCTCAACGGATTTTGACCAAACTTTCACAGAAGCTTTGTCAACAAGTGCCCTGGGGCATGTTGTCTGGGTTTTGTGATTGGATAATATTTGACGTAATTATGGCCCTTTGTTTTTTTTCCTTATCTAGAATATATAGTGAACAATTTCTTCTGTGCACAACTCCTCCTACATTTCTCAACGGATTTTGACCAAACTTTCACAGAAGCTTTGTCATCAAGTGCCCTGGTGCATATTGTCGGGGTTTTGTGATTGGATAATATTTGACCTAATTATGGCCCTTTGTTTTTTTTCCTTATATAGAATATATAGTGAACAATTTCTTCTGTGCGCAACTCCTCCTACATTTCTCAACAGATTTTGACCAAACTTTCACAGAAGCTTTGTCATCAAGTGCCCTGGTGCATATTGTTGGGGGTTTTGTGATTGGATAATATTTGACCTAATTATGGCCCTTTGTTTTTTTTCCTAATATAGAATATATAGTGAACAATTTCTTCTGTGCGCAACTCCTCCTACATTTCTCAACAGATTTTGACCAAACTTTCACAGAAGCTTTGTCATCAAGTGCCCTGGTGCATATTGTCGGGGTTTTGTGATTGGATAATATTTGACCTAATTATGGCACTTTGTTTTTTTTTCCTTTTACAGAATATTTAGTGAGCACTTCTTCTCTGCGCAATTCCTCCTACATTATTCATGATTTACATTGCACATAGTTACATTGTTTGTTGCTTGTATTTGTATTTCAACTACAACATATTTATCTACAATGGTGATAATTGAAAACCTGGTTTCGTGGCATTGCCATGTTTCTTGTTATCTACGTGGATTAATCTATGAAATAAATATAAACTGGTAATTGTACCAATGCAATAAGCCATCTGGGTTATAAAGCATATCCTATGGAAAATAATCTCTTTTATTTCAGATCAGAATAACCCAATAGCAGATCTTTTAAAATAATCTGAATGATATTAAGACAAGATAAAGAGGATATTGAATGAGTGTAGGTTCAATACTGTATTTATTGAGTGAGTTGAATGAAATTATGTTATGTGAGCCTTTGGCTGTAAAAAACTGTATAAAGCCTGTTTAAAGTGCAAAAGAGTCATTTTTTATTGACGTGCCTATAGTGTAACGCTTACATTAAGCACGTCTTTAAGCTATGTTTTTATAACGTAAATGAAGTCACCACAAAATATATGTACGGAGTCGCAAAACTGGCATGTGTATGTGATAAAGAAATTTATGAAAATGTCCCTATTCCTTTTATTGTGAATGTCCCATGCATTTCTGATTTCTCTGTACCAATTTGTACGAGGGATGATCAAAAATAAACCGGACTGTGACTGGCAATTGAAGAATTTTCATCCTATCACTTATTGTTATATATGACACTTAATCGGAAAACAATACCTGTAAACTGATGCTTTATCTAATTTGACAACACAAATAGCTTGTCCGTAACAGCGAATTCAAAAACCGTGGTAACGCACACCTGGCACAGTGTGTAAATTCGCTTTGACATCAGGCGTTTTATGCTGCGTGTTTTTTACAATATGGCACATTTAGATTTCAAAATATGCCATCATAGTTGTATTATTCTGTTATTTTTTCGTATGTATGATACATTATCATTCAGAAACATTATTTTACATTATTTGTTAAACATAATATAGTTAATTGCATGTGCGATTTTTTCAACAATCAAGTTACAGAAGGAAATAACGGAAGTTTGCGTCATTACAGGAGCTCTTTATCACCATTCATTCTATTACAATACAATATGATACCCACTTGTACAGAAATATATATAGGCAGTGGATCCGCCGCATCAATAACATGACTGTACAACATATTTTGGCCTACTCCGTGAATGAGTAAAAATCTGATCCATTAAGGACAATACGCTTGTGACGTCGTTAACGTCAATTTTAAAGTTATACCGTGCGCCACATTGCTTTACATGTCCGTGCCAATAACTGCATAACTTTTTTCTTTGTTAATATTTCTTGTTGGTATTTTTTGTATCATTTAGGGGATAGATTTCGATTTATTTTCCGTGTATTGTTATGTTAATTCATTTAACAGGTTAAGAATCATTTACAAAGTCCGGTTAATTTTTGATCATCCCTCATATCCATGCAGTCTCAATACTAATACATATGATCATCAACTTATTATGAATATTTTTCTCCACTTTTATCAAATTGTTTACATTTTCAGCAATGGCGACTTCTGCCCTATTTGGCAGCAACATATGTGATGGAACATTTTCATGTGTCAATATTCATGGATTTTGTGAACATACGCATCGGCCTGATGATGGGTGATAAAAGTGAACACCAGGCTTTAATGGGACGTGAGATTCACGCAATGTCATGCGCAAGTAAACCTCTGGCCAGCTGGCTGGCCCAGGGTGCCATACAAGAATGCAGGGAGTGCTGTGGTGGCCATGGTTATTTCAAAGGTGATTTTTTATTATTCTTCATAAATTCTAGCATTAATGTATCCCCTGCCCAACTCATACATTTCTGAAAGTATTGTCATCAAGGGCTCTGAAGCATATTGTCAGGTTTTGGTGATTTGACCTTCATTTGAAGAATTTTGGTCTTTGGAAGTTGGGGTTTTGGTTTTCAGAGATGTTATATTGTCAGAAAACATTTTGTGACAATTTGATTTCAGTTGTTTTTAATTCTTGTGCAAATACATATAATTTGTTAATCTTAATTTTTTGTATACCCCGTACTATGATTATTTTTATGACTAGATATGAAAATGTATTTTTAGTTAAGAATTTTGCTCCATTCTATATACAGGTACACCTCAAGGGCAAATAATATTCTAACTGATGAAGTGGGTTTTTTTTGTAGATACGATTTACCATTAAAATTGCATCATTTCAACAATATAAGAACATTTTTTTGACTGAAACAGATATGATTTTTATGAATCGTGCTTAAAAAGATATATTGGACATATGTGAGGATTAATATTTCAGAATTTCACACTTAAGATTAAAAATACTAAGGGAAATGTTATTCACTTGGTGAACTACTTGATGATAATGACTCTAACTTTATTTACAGTGAATAGATTTGGTGAACTACGTGATGATAATGACCCTAATTGTACGTATGAGGGAGATAACAATGTTATTCTACAACAAACCAGCAACTATCTGCTATCTTTGTTGGAAGGAAAGAGAAAACAAGGTTTGTCTTAAAATATACATTTTCATTGCATTACATGTATGTAACTAATTTTCAATATACCTGTATATATTTCTCCACTTTTGATTTAAAACGAGGCCATCAGAGGAACGTTATAAGTAATATTTCATTTTAAAATTGGTGTTTTCAAAAGGGATTTTGTCATTTTTAGCCCCCCCCCCCAACTTCTTTAAGAGTGGAAATGGGTGGGCATGTTTGTCTTTGTCCTTCCCATTGTTATGCTTTCTGTAGATAGACTGACAAATGTGTCTAGTTAATTTTTGGGGGGGATTTATAAATATCAAACGATAAATAGTTACACTCTCTACATTTATTGTATTGTATTTTGTATGGACTTTAATTAAAACTCATCCTAGAATTTTTAAAAGCTTACCATTGACTCACTTCATAACACTTTTCTATACTAGGATCTGTATGAAATGTATTAATGTATAATGTATAAATGAATTAATGTTAAATTATAATGTTTGTATCACTTTTAACTTCAAAAGATCAGTAGAATATGCTAAATTGACAGTACAGATGACTGAGGTTGAATCTTAGGCAATGCATAAAGTTTCCTATGATGATTTTATTGACTACAATTTTATTTTTATTTGCAACCTCTTCTCCATCGCTATTGGTATTGATAGTACGGTATTGATATTGTTTTGTAATTGCATGCCAAAGATTTTGACTGAAATACTGTTAAAACTGGTGGGAAACCATATTGAACAAGTAAAGTCCATTTTTATGATCTTTTTTTCTCAATTTCAGGCACAAAAATAGAGGCCCCATTAAAAAGTGTTGATTTTATTGACAACTATGAAAGCATACTGAAAACCAAGTTCTCCGCTAGAAATGTTCAAGATTGTATGCAACCACCAGGTAACTTATAATTTATTGCTCGAATTTCTTCAAAGTTTAAAGAGATTTAAAAGCACAGTTGTTACATGTAAACATTTGTCTGTTTCATTAAAGCAAATATATAAGTTCTAATAAATGTATAGGTAATGAACAATTATGTTTTATCTGTTTTATTCTGTTCTGTACCCATAAAATGTTTACTTAGTTATTTGAATATTACATGTTTATCCCTGGACAAATTTTACTTCTTAACTGCCTATAATTTTGATATCTCTTTCTCATTCAGTTATACTGGATGCATACAAATGGTTGGTGTGTCGTCTGCTAGTTGACAGCGCGCAGCGTCTGCAAAAGCAGGTGGCAGCCGGGCAGGACAGTTTTGCCGCCAGAAATAACAGCCAAGTTTACTACTGCAGAACACTTTCTCTAGCCTATATAGAGGTATATAAACCTTTCCTTCTATTGGTGTTTGAAAGTAATGCTTTAAGAAATGTGTTGCTAGTAAAGCAAAATCAAGAAACGATACAATGTTTTAGGTATTTATGCATTTTATTTATGCAAGATTTAAGTATGGTCTCCATGGGTATACCATACAGAGGGACAGGGATCTCTGTTATTTAATGGTTACGGACACTGGCTTTTAAGCACATGCACCCTTGAACTGTAAGTTTAAACCCTGCAAGAGACATCACTTTGATTATTTGCAGTAAGCAATCTATTCAACTAGGATGGTGGTTCTACTTGGGTGCGGGCTCGTGACTGAAATAAAGGTGGTAGCAGCAGCTGACATATTATTCCACAAGTTAAGCTAGAAAACCATGGAAAAAAACTCTTACCATTTATATGACTTGTTAAAATTTAACCAAAACGAAAATGCCAATGTTAAATAACACAAGCTGATATTTTTGGGGAATATTGAAGAAAATTGTGATGACTTAATTTGTGACTGCTATCACAATGGTCTGATTGATCCTTTTTTTGTTATTTTTGTAGCACACTGCCATTGAAAGGTTCTGGAAGTTGATACAAGAAGGGAAAGATGGTGAATTGGCCTCTCAGCCAATCAGAACTGTTCTTACAAAACTTTGCTCACTCTTCGGTCTGTGGAGGCTAGAAAAACATCTTACAGCATTGTATCAAGGTAAGGTCATGCTGACATTGGCTATAAATATTCTTTTTAGCAAACAATTTAGGCCATATATTTGAGATGAGTTTAAGAATATTGGAAAACATTAGTTTTATTTACTGCATAGGTCCTCCTCATCAATGTAAAGTTTTGTAAAATCCCTCCTAAACGACACAAAAAACAATAGTAAATTTTAAATAAAGATTTCAGATTGTCCACACAATGCTTAGAATACCTTATGCAGGTGTGAAATCAGTTTATCAGTCCCCATGTAAAAGTTACATGCAAACGTGACAAAACTGATGTAGAAAAATTTGTGCATCAGAATGTATGAATTTAAAGAAAAATTGATGTAAATAACCTAAGCAGTTATGAATGGTATTCATGATTAGCAAAATATTCGAGGAAATGTTTAAAAAATGATTGCCAATTTTATGTAAATGACTGGAAAATACCTATGTAAATGATTGAAATGAAAGTAATTATACATACTTATGTAAATGACTAGAATAGTTCATGTGAATTTTTGAATTATTCCCGATTCAGCTATTCTGGATAATTCGTATAAATATCCGTAACACTTTTGTAAATATTTTGAATATTTGTGTAAATACTATACAATATTCATGTAACTATTTTAAAAATTCTACTATATTCATGTAATTTTGTAACTATTTGGAATATTCATACACTCCGTAAAATTTTCATGTAAAGATTTGGAATATTCATGTAAATGATTGTAATAAAGGAATAATATAACAACATTACAGGAGGTTATATAAGTGGTCCATCAGTACCTTCTATGATACAAGAAGCTATACTCACACTATGTGGTGAACTTAAGGGTGATGCTGTGGCACTCGTGGATGCTGTAGCACCTCCAGATTTCATCCTCAACTCCCCGATCGGCTTGTCAGATGGACAGGTATAGTATACTACATCAAACATTGTATTGTTTTGATGAGCTGTAGAATACAAAACTAGGAGCCACGTGGTAAAGGTTGTTGACTTCAAGCCACTTGCCTCTCACAGCTGTAGGTTTGAGCTGCGGAAGAATCTTAGAATTATTTCATGTAAGAAAGCTATCCAGCTAGATTACGGAATGTAAATGGTTTTTCTCAGGTGCCCATTGTGCCTGAAATAATGAACAGAAGGGATCCTTATCCTTAGGTATTTTTCCACCAGTAAAGCTGGAAAGTTAAAACTATACTGTGTTGGTGTGACATAAAACCTGACGAAGAAAAATATTTACCTGTATATACCAGTCTTGGGCTATGTGAAAGAGTTAAATGTAATTGTATTGAACGTAATGAAGCGTAATTGCCTATATTTTATATTTGACTTACATGTACTGTCTTCTTTCTTATACATTTCTTTTATTCTTACAGATCTACAAGAACCTATATGGAGCCATGCTCCAAGGTGACAAAGCCTTAGAAAGAGCCGACTGGTGGCAAGATTTTGTTAACAAACCGGACGTAGGAAGTCTAAGAAAATCCAAGCTATAAAACTTTTTCAGGAATAAAAAATTCATACATTTGAATAAATTAATTTTGAGACATTCCATGTGCTTTCAGAAATAGATGATGACTTTTTGATACATTGTTTTCTTTTGTTTTTCACTGTGTGAAAGGTTTAATGTAAAAATATTGCAAGTGTCTGATAATATACGTGTATTCTAAGAATTTATCTATCTAGTAACATTACTGTACACAATTTGTGAATTTTTATCAGAAATTCTGTATGTACAAGGTAATGTGGTATAATTATTTGTTTTTGAATTTCTGTGTGTCAGGGAGGTGTGCTCAAATCTGGTTATTTGTATGCATATGGTTCTTAACACTATCAAATAGAAATGAACTTGATTTATCATTTATGTTAATTGTTTATATCTAATGAATCATGCTGAAAAAGAAATACAATGACATATTTTAGGATTTATTTTTCAGAATTTTAGACTTTATATTGAAACAATATTCAAATAATGTTATTACGAGTATTGATTAATGAGTAATATTTATTCATAATGATGTAGTCTGAAACATCAGATGCTGTTGTTTAAATTCTCTCTACTGGTGATTCAGATGTGGAATTTTTGTGTAAAAAAAATAGTGTATGAAAGGTCAGTTGGATAAAATCAATCATTAATATAAGTAAATTTTTCTAATGCATAGTTATAATTAGTCATTTAGACTTTTTACAGGTTATATGGCCATGTGTAAACAGTTTTAAGCTATATAACCAAAGTTGTGAGGCTAGGGTTATATTGCAAAGAAACATTAAAAAAACAAAACAGCCTTATAATCTGTCAGAAAAAGGAAATATTACAATTTTAAAATACAGTATAATTTATTTTGGAGGAAAAAATTGAAAATTAATACATAAATTTCAGTAGCCATGTATAATTTAGTTTATACAAATGTTAGGATTATCCAATGAAGAGCAATGTAACAAACAGGCAGTATTATATCTGTAAAGTTGAAATATACAAGTTACATGTAATTATCTTCATATTTACAATCTACAGAAATGCTATAATAGACGTATCTGGAACATGGCAAATTTGAGTTTTTCCTCTCTTATACAAGGGTAAAAACTTTAAGCTTCATTCACACAAGAGTGATCAAGATGTTGCTGTTATTTTTCATATATATACAAAGTTGTTACAGTAAAAGCTACGGGTGTCTGTGTTCGAGTGGTTAAGGTCCCTGATTTCAAACCACTTGCCACTGATTGCTGCAGGTTCAAATCTAGACAGATTTGAATTTATCAGATGTTGTTCTTTTTTTTTACATTTTACTAATTTTAAATTATTTGCTGTGTGTGTACTGTGATAAAAATCAATAATAAAATGATTATAAAATACCTTTTGTTTTTCTAGCTTTTTATTCTCTTTTCTTTTTTTCTTTTTTCATTTGTAAATACAAAAAAAATATTGAAAAATATTCAATATACAACAGTTGATACAGTAATATTATGATGATGATGATGATGATTGCGGTGATGATGATGATGATTATGAAATACATGATAATGAAGAAATAAATTGTTGTTTGATACATTATAATGCCAATGTAGATGTTTATAATAACGCTCCAGAAAATTTTGTCCATTAATTTGACAAAAGATGCTAACTTTGTTGTGTAACAAAGTTGAAACAAGCCAAATAGAATGCATCATTATTTTTCAAAAGTACATTATTTTACATGGCACCGTTTGGAATATTTCACAAGTATGGAAATTCACATACTCGTTAGCAGATCATTGTACATGTAGGTATTCAATGATCAGTGCTTAGATGATTAAATTCAATGAAGTGGCAAAGAAGCCGAGTGACGAGTAAAACACTAGTGTAAAATCCAAGCCCAGATGCTTATTATACAAAAAATAATCCATTCCCTGCCTGTTTTATTTCAGTTTTTCAATGTACCACTGACTCTGTCTTTTCAGTTTTTATCTACTAGGCAGTGACCACAAAAATCCTGTCTAAGTCATTCAGTCATAAATTTAACCGTCGCAGAACCCCGTGTCCGTTTTTCATGTAGCATGTCTGCTGATGTATCATGTCGGTTTCGTTTCCTTCATCTGTTGTACATGCTCCGCCTCCGCTCCGAGAAGTTGTACACGTTTACGTTGATAATGTTGCCAGTGCAGAAGCTGCTGATCATCAATAAACTTCGCACATTGCTGATTGGCTAACTCTTTTCTGAATTGTTCGTACTGTAGTAACTCCAGGAAATGTAAAGCTTGTGGATACCTGCAATGACGGATTATTAAACATTATGTAATATGACTATGTTTTTGATTAAATAATGATTTAATTATTAACAAGAGCTGTCTGGGATCAGCATGCTCTATTTTTCTTGGAACTGCATAGTAAACTTGATATAATGTATTGAGTTAATGACCATTAAGTATTGACGTTAATGACTATAAATGAAAACTCAAATAAAAAGTTTAACTGAAAAGGTAAACAAAAGCCGGCCCTGCTTTTCTTCAGAACATGGAGCTAAAAATCATGCATAGTTTACATAGGTAAACAAAAGACAGCCTTGCTTTTCTTCAAAAAGCTGAGCTAAAAATCACACAAAGTTTACATCCATAAGTCTGATACAATAGGTTTCTTATAGCAGTATCTGACAAGAAACTTGCATTCAACTCTAGTGAATTTTCCAATTTGCCAAGATCACACATGCACTAGGTTTGTTCTGTTGAAGTAAAATTTAAGAGAACCTAGTCATTGTTACAAAAACCCTTTACTTATAAACTCCTAATATTTTACATAATAAAATTGTTTATTAATGACAGCAAAATGCAAGATAAAACTTTAAGACTTTCTACGAGCCAAATTTAAGCATACAATTTTTCTAACAGTATATACAAGTATTATTAATAAATTTACAATAAATGATTATGTATATTCATTGAGTTGTACAATGAAAATGTCATGTCAAAAAAAAATCAAAGAGCAGGATGCCTACTGAAGTATGTGATCCTTGAAACATGTTATTCATGACTTCCCAAGCAATGTATGGAGTTTTCTCCTATTTCTATGCGCAAATCAACTTTACCCAGACCTAGAATCCTGCAAAATTACATTTCTTGCCAAATCTTTAAAAGATAAAATCCTGCAAAACGTTTATTCTGCTCATCATAGTATACTATACAAAAGTACTTAGTACCCTCTAGATTTCATTGAATAAGTTTCTGGTTCATGTCTGAGTAGTGTCTTAAGGTTTTTTTTTGTTATTTTAGGAAAATAAAAATTTAATTTCTTTCTTCCAGTCACTTTACTTACTTCAGATATTTAGCATATTTGGGTTCTTTCCAGTACTGGAGATATTTGAGGTAGTTGATAAAATTTGTGTCTTTGAAGTAACCACGCTGGGCTAGAACTGTAACAAAATACACAGTAGAAATAATGCATTTTGGATTCAAACACAAAAATAAAATGCAACAATAAACTTTCACGAGAACTGTCGTAGGACAGAAACGCTCGACCATTCGAAAAGTTGTCACAAGGGTGTTTCATCGAGTATAATAATGCTTACCTATATGAATACATAAAATTGTCCGAAAAGGTACAAAGGCTTGTTATTAAGATGTTTTATCAAGTAAATCACTGCTTTATCATTATGAATGCATTAAAATTGTCCCAAAAAAGGCACAAACCCTTCAGTAGTATGGAGATACCAGCTTACAAGCAAAACCTTTACCAAGAATTTCTAAGCCAAAAAAGGGGCATAGTTATGGAAAAAAAAACAAATCAAGAGTTGTGGGACTTGTGCCAATCATGTTAGATAATCACAGAGAACAAGTGTGTAAAGTTTCAATCCATTCCCTTTAGTAGTTATAGAGATGCCAGCTTACACGAATATTTCATTTAATTCCGAGTATATTTCTTAATGTAAAAAATTAAAAAATAATATACATACATGTAAATATTTTGAGGCTTTTTGACCTCAGAGGAGCCCCTTTAAGGTTGTAAATCACACCCACACTGCTAGACAACTAGCAACTTCCCAGCTTCCACTGATGGAGGAAGAACTCTGGTGACTTTAAATGTATTTAATTTTGGTATGACTTTTTTCCCTCAATTTAATAAATTCATCATCCCCACTGGAAATCAAACCCTGAGCAAAATAATTATAACATCAATCAGCAGTCTTAAACTTCAAACTAGTTGTCCACTGAAGACCTTGCATTTGTTATATAACCATTTGTACAAGTTGAGACCAGATCAATGTGTAAGAAAAGTTTAAGTTATGATAATATTCCTCATTAATACAGTGGCAAAATTGGAAAGTGAAAAGTGGAACTATTTTATAGTTGTTAATACTTACAGTTAAGATAGTTTGGGTTTGCTAAACATTGTACAAATTCCAGCTCTGTTTGAAACCGAAGTTTTGCCTGTTCCTCAGATTCTTAAAAGATAAAAAGAGCAGTATTATAATTATATAATTATAACTATACATAATTCTTTAATCAGATAGTTATTCAAATAGAAAGTATACAACATTCAATATACATGCACATAAATGTTTGAAGCTGGGACACAATACAGTGATTTTTCACCTTATATAAAAGTCTTCTTCACAATATATATTTTCTTTCTTCAAAATCATGCAGTTTTCTAAAACCAGCTTTTTCTAATGCCCAAATTAGCAGTTTTAGTGATATTTTTTTCCAAAATCAAATGGCTAAGGACTATGAGGGATTAACATAAGGTTTTTTTTAATTTAACCTTATGAAAATGTTTGATTTACATCATACCGGTATTTGTTTTCACAGATAATATTTCATTGTAAATTGATTGCTCTTAAGTGGATGCGTGCATTCACACAAAATTATCGGTGATTATATAATTATACATTTGTTTTCACTATTGCGTGTTAGTGTTTGAAATTATTTTTTGTCCAGTAGTATTTCAGTATTCAGTATTTCAAATGAATCGTAACACATTTACGTTGGTAAATCAACAAACTGTTAATCAGTCTAGTAAATCGTGTGTATATAAAATTAATTTAAAACACTAAGCTGGTTAAAATTTATTAGTATGTATTTACAAAATTAAACTCAGGTGGCGCGGCTGTGCAGCGCCTGACCAATTTAACTTTTTATATATGTACTAAGTAAAGTTTATACATACGTATCAACAAAATTATTGGTCAGGTGCGGCGATTTCCTAGACTGATTAACAGTTTGCTGATTTACCAAAGTAAATGTGTTACGATTCATTTGAAATACTGCAATCCTTTTGGACAAAATATCATTTCAAACGCTAATAAACTTTAACATATACTTAATTAAATATTAACTGGAGCAACACATTTACCAACAAAAGCCAATTAATATCTATACATAATCTTCAATTAGTAAAGTTTCATTTAATTGCAAAAAGTTTATTAGTATGTATTTACAAAATTAAATTGGTCAGGCGCTATATATATGACGTTCCCCCTTCGAGAAAAGTATGAAGGGGGAACGTCATATATATGATAAAACACCCCAGCGTACAATTTGTAGGGCTCTAGATTAATTAATTAACAAACAGGTAAATGTAACACTGTGTTACATTGCGTATCTCAAAAAGTACACTCTCACAATTCAACCTGACAGAAATAGTGAAGAAATTAAACTTTATTAGTAAATATTGACAAACATGTCTGATACCAAGAGCAATCTAGTCTTGTCATAAAATATGCTAAAATATGTTAATTATCTAAAATTGTAAATTAGTGTGTCCGACATCAATACCTATCCGAATACTTTACACTCTAGTTGTTTTTTAACTTGTAAACAGTGTGAGGCCGATAATTTTGATGTTATGTTAACATTTTTATCTTAAACATGTACCCGTGAATGTATTTGCAGATACAGGCTGCGACATCCTTGGCGTTGCCATTGCAAAACACGAAACAACCGGCAAAATTGTGTGGATCAAAGGGGGCAATACACAGTTTTCAAGGCTTCTCGGCAAACAACTGACTGCGCCACAATCAAAACCTCGCACACAAGTCTGTAATCACACACCTGAAATAAATGCATTTCATATTTAACATATATATATGTATCTCACAGCAAACAATTAAAAATACATGTCCACCTTCTAGTTTTCTGGCACACAGCCCTGTGTTTTTCATTGTTTTGGTCGCGAAAATCAACGACAAAATAAGCGGATTATCCCTATACGCAAAATACAACAATATATTAACGTCAAAAACTTAAATCACAAGCTATAGTGTTTCTTCCTTCTTAAACCATGCACAATCTGAAAATAACATCCAAACGGGGTGCCATCCACCTACTTTTTTCACTATTCTAAGTCTTCTGCATACCCTTCAAATTGAAGAGCTGATTCACCGGCTAGCTCCAGAAACCACACGTTCGCATCCCACAGGTACTCTCTCATAAAAACAAGGGTCAACGCCACTAAATTCAATTTTACTAAATAACTGAAACACAATACTAGTCATTGAAACTTGAAATATAGTAACTATAATCATTTAGAACCTCAAATATCCACTTCAATTTCAAAACTGTCTCTTATTTGTGAATTCCACCTGGCCAATTCGAGACTAAACAGCCGAAACTGTGTACTGCCTCCAAAATGAAAGTAGAAATGTAACCGGAAGTGACTACAATTCACTAAACAGAGGCGTTTTTCTTACTTTGAAACGTTTGAAATTCCTTTTTAAACAAAATTTTAAACATTTTTGTTTTAATTTTTTAAAATGGCTGCAAAATAATAATAAAATAATATACATTAAAAAATAAAGAAGAAATTAGCTGCGGAACTATAACATGTCTGCCTCCATGTTTTAAGGAAAAATTGTTTGTTGAAAATGAAGAAAAAAGACATATCTGTGAGACCAGAGGTCTTTCAGGCTATGCAAAATATAGACATTATAGCTCTTGAACAATTTGAACCAAGTTATCTACGACCAGTATTACCATGTTTAGTTAGAACCGCTCTTTGTGCATCTGTAGACAAAAGTCAAAAATGGAGCACAGCAAGGAAAGAAGTTTTGAAGATACTAGCAGGAATAGAGGATGTCAATGGTATAGTGGCTCTTCTTTCAATTGATTTCCACGCCCTTGAACAAGATGTGAAGAAGGAACAACAATTAAGGTTAGGATCTACACAAATTTTAAATTACTAAATTTAGTTTTTTTAAATCTGGCCTTGGAAAAGGTTCAAACTTGATGTTATCTGAACTGAAATAGACCAACACTGCTGGAACAGACGGCAAGACATCTGGAATCGAGAGGAAGAATAGTTTGTAATGAATTTAAAAGTTCCCAATACCTCAGAAGGTATCACAAGGTTTAATGTGCAAAGCCTATGAAATGGGAAGTCAGTTGAAATATTCATTTATTTTACATTTTCCATTTTAAAGTTGTCATTCGGCATATGATGCCTTACTTCCGTTTTCACTCGGAACACCTTGACGATTATAATATTACTAAGGTGATTCGTTGCAAGTGTTCCGTTATGGGAATACCCCGATTATCATTGAGATACATTGAAAATGGTGGTGTCCAACTAAATATTACACTGAAAATTTCACTGATAGGTAGAGAAATCTATATATGTTTCAATTGTTCTTTTTTATTATTTGATTTCCTTTCAAATATTCATATGTAGTCTTTAGCCGGGCAAGCCAAGCTTCGCAGTCCAGGGCTTTGACTGAGCCTAAGACTTACACATTTACTGCAGGAATCTGCTCTAATGCTAGTTTGAAATTCTCACACAAGTGCAACAAATTTCAAGATAAATATTTTCAACAAAAATGCGCAAATTTAATTTTACTTTTAAAAGACCCAGTTTTTCATCTGCTCTAGATAATTTCTTTTGTTAACATGCACAGACATAATTATTAATTTAACCAAAAGTTGACATTTACCACAGTATAAGTTAAAACAATGTATTGATTGATTTTTTTTCAGGTCTAAAGTTGGCAGCTCACACACAGACAGTGTGCTGATCTCTCAAATTCAGAATGGGCTGGCTTTAGAATTTGAACGCAGTGATCCTGCTCGCAAAATCAGGCTGCTTCTTAGTGAATTACTTTTTATATTGTCTCAAGTAAGTGTCAGTTTGTACTATTATTAAGAGGGAAAATTGAGAGATGATTGGCCATTTGAAAAGTGTTGCATTTACTAAAATTATTTCTTTATAATATGTACCCAGTATATTACAAAGCAACAACATAATATTTCAGCAGGTACAGATTTGATATAAAAGGTCTCATAATTTTATTCAAAGTCACAGCACATTGAGACCTTGTAACATTTTACTGAAATATGTAAAAGATGCCCTAGAGTTATAGGAAGGTTTAGAGAAATTTATTAACTTAGAAATGAATTCATTATAATTACTTTTTTATTTCCAAATTTTTTCTTCAGTCTTATTTTCTTTGTAAAAAAGACAGGAACTTCATGTCATGTTATACATGTACATGTAGTTGTAAAACATACAAATGATTTTATTTAAAATATTAAATAGGTGAGGGAAAACAAGACTGATTTCTCACAGAAACAATGGGAACTGTTTGATTGTGAAGTTTATCTGGAGGAAGTCTCTGATGTTCTCTGTATAGCTTACTCAGGTAAGTGTCACAATATTTTAACCCTTAGCCTGCACAGATATGCCATCTGATCATGGTCTGCACTGTTTGCTATTTAGTCAGTACATATTTTGAAATTTTACCTAAAATGATGAATGTTATTGTCCTGATTAGACAAGGATGGACAATTGAAGTCCCAAATTTTAAGCTTATATTAGAAACTCAGTGTAACTTTTAGCCTGCATGGAGGCAACAGATTCTACTCAAATGACCAGTGTAGACCAAAGATCGGCTGGCATATCTTTGTCATCTGATCATGGTCTGCATTGTTTGCTATTCAGTCAGTACTTGTTTTGAAATTGAACCTTAAAATTATAAATGGTTTTGTCTTGATTGAATGATGGATTAGTCCATTTAAGATATTTAGAATGGTTAGTGTTTTAATACAATCACAAAGATCAGAATGAGAGGAAAAAGTCAAGTCCCAAATTTTAAGATTATGTTAGAAAGAACCTGTCCCTGTGGGTTCACATTCTATGTGAGACAATCAAAGTTTTACTACCAATCTTGAATTTGCTCCAGGAATTTGAAGAAAATATTTGCAAGTGTACAGAAATACATTTTCAAGCTAGGTTAGTGTATGAAACAGGGATATTGCAATATGCCAAAAATAATCTATGGCAAGACTGCTAACAATTGTTTTTCGGATTGGGTTTTTAGGGGTTTTTTTGTTGCTAAACTGAATAAAAATTCTATTTTTCATTTTTTGGACCTCAGCTTATCCACAGGAACTTGAAATTCTATCACTATTAACGATAATATGCAAAATATACCCCCTATATACTATAGTTTTTTTATAGTATATATGGGGTATATTTTGCATATTATCGTTAATAGTGATAGAATTTCAAGTTCCTGTGGCTTATCCCTTTTGCTCATATAAATCGCTTAGTTGAAACTGTGATTAAAAATATGTTTGATCATTCTTCACAAAGACCAATCTATATATAGAGGATATTGAATGAGTGTAAGTTCAATACTGAATTTATTGCACAAGTTGAATAAAATTATATTATGCGAGCCTCCGGCGAGCATAATATTATTTTATTCAACGAGTGCAATAAATTCAGTATTGAACTTACACGAATTTAATATTCTATTTATCACATAGCCAAAATAAAGACCGTTTCAAGTGAAATAAGAGTCATTTTCATTGACGCGCCTATAGTATAACGCTAACATTTAGCGCGTCTTTACACTATGTTTGTATAACGCTAATGACGTCACGTCAAAATATATGCACGGCCGTGCAATACCATATTTACGGAGTCGCAAAATCGGCACGAGTGTGTGATAAATTCTCAGTTGTAATGAAATAAAAAAACTATTTCTTCTGCTAAGACAAAAATTAGTCATTTTGGAAAATTTTGATACCTTGTGATTAGAATAGAATATAATAGAAGAATTCTTAAGTCAAAACCCTTAAAGTGCTCTTTGGCACTTTTGTTTAATTCTAGCATTAGGACCACTTTTGCTGTTGTTTTGTAAATTATTGCAAACAGGTTACAAGTAGGAAAAAATCCATGAAATTTTTGTTCAAGATACTTATGACTAAATGTTTATTATACTAACAACTACCACACTGCTCATTTAATTTATTTTTTAGAATTACCAAGTTTGTTGCCGATAAGCGATGTTGCAGAGGCATTGATGTATGTACCAAATGGTGCCTGGTTGCTATGCCGACTAGTTGCTAACTCTCCAGACAGCTTTAAAGAAGGTAAAATATTTTCCCATTTTATTACAGACTACAACAATCACTGACTTCAAGAGTTTTTCATTATTAACCGATTGGCGATCCAAACCATCAGTTAAAATGCTGTTAAAATCGGTTGTATTTTCAGCCTGTATATTAAAGTTAAGTATCACCCTTGCAAAATCGGTTGTTTTCTTAGGAGCATCTATTGCGTCAGGTAAAAATGAAAACACTGGTTACAAATTTCACGACATGAAAATGTTTGTTTTTCATTATGACAGTTTATAAATGAAGATGTTTGTTTTTCAATATGACAGTTTATAAATGAAGATGTTTGTTTTTCTTTATGACAGTTTATAAATGAAGATGTTTGTATATCATTTAGTGTGTCAGAGTCTCGTATCAAGGGGAGAGAAGCAGGACGAGGAAACTATCAGCGGTAGAAAACGTATGGACCTTATACATACGTTGTGTGATATGAACCCCTGTGAGGCATTGTTTGTTAGATCTATTTGTGTAAGTTTTTCTTTATGCTTCAAACTCAATCTGCATTTTTCCTAATGGACTCTTTGAAATGTCTGTTGTTGAAATGTATAGACTGAAATTTAAGTAGTAATTCATATAGTGTAATTTTACTGAGTGTGAATTTTCTTCTTTGACATATCATCACCTTAGTGCAGTAATGGGTTAAGTCTTTCTAAATTTGATAGTAGTTAACCAGTAATTGCACTTAGGTGACAATATGTGTATAGTGTTGCAATGTAGTTTTTGCAGAAAAGATAATTCAATTACAAATTAAAGACCTGCAAAATGAAATAAGGTTGTAGTTAAGTATAAGAACAATGACCTGGTCTGGTGCTTGTGCATGTTTAGTGTAGATTCTGCTAGGTTAGGAGCTGCGAAATAAAGTATGGATATAGTTATGTATAAGAACAATGTCCTGGTAAGACACGTGTATATTTTGCGGGGCAGGATCACATGAGCCGGACTAAGAATGAGTCATTCTTTAAAACTCCACAAGAGTTGGCCATAATTGTAAGAACAAGGTAATCTGAATCATGCACCTCAACATAGTCCTACGGGTTGAGATATTGTACCATTTTGTGTATGGGCAATATCTCTTCTCTGAGATTCTGACCCAGAACAAAAATATCACAGAATCTAGCTTTGGCACATTAAAATGTTTTGACTACATCTCAGCATACTTAAATCACCATAATTTTATACAGTACAGCTTTAACAATTTTCCCAAAGTCTGCCGATCCCTGCGATTTTTTATATTCACTTGAAACATAATGACCTAACATCAGCAAAGTCACAATTATACAATTCAGATTTTCAAGATTACACATAAATACACAGTATATAATATAGATTTCTTTTAATCAGGTTGAATTTGTGCTTTCAATGCATGCAGTTGAAATAGCAAAATATGTTTAGATGTATCATTAACTTCTGTACATGCATGGTCAATCACATTAAAATCAGATTAAATTTTTGCTCTGTTTCTCTTCGCTACAAAGAAAATGGGGCAAAAACTATCTTTATAGCGAAAAGTATCGGAGGGAAAATGTTGATCTAATTTTAATGAGATTGACCATATGGTCATCTAATATACGCTTAAAAAATGTTAATATAAGTAGAATAATAAAGAAATTAAATATTTTTTTCAAGTTTTTTTGTGGTTTTTTTTACCTGCTTATTTGTGAGCACAAAGTATAAAACAGTATCAATTATCTTTACAATTTTTGATTAACTTTAATTTACTTGGTACATGTAATTATCGGTTATCTTTGAAATAATTATATTTATTTATATTTTTTCAGGTACAAAATTGTACCATGCCTGCACTGACTGTGGCATTAACATTAAACACATTTAACCAATCAAAGAGGACAGACAGCACAGACCAATCAGAAAGCAGCTCTGAATCAGCCAATGACATTGTTGCTTTTGTCAGTGGTTTGTTGCTCGGCAACAATATAGAAGTGAAAAATTGGTTCTCACAATTTATCAAATGTGGACAAAGGGTTTGTCATTTGTTGTTGCACAATTAAAGTAGCATGCCTCAAGATTCATGCTGATTTTTATGAAAATTTTGAAAAGGTATTAAAAAATAAAATATTTTCAAGTGAACAGAAAGATATTGCAAACGGCACTTACAGTTCAGGTAAATTACCAAAAAGAGGTCAAAATATGCAGAAATGGCCGTTCGTGCATTAGTCATGCAGTAGAAATATGGTGATAAATTCTGCAAAATCAGTCAATAGCTCCACATCACATGTAAACTAGTACTTGAATCTTTTTACTTAAAATCCTAGTACATTTTTTGTCAAGTTTGATTTTCTTAAAATATTTTGACTTATCTGGAGGCATGCTGCTTTAATATTTTCTTAGTTCATCATAATTATGTGTAACAGAATAATGCATGATGAAAGTTCAACAAAAAAAATTGTTGTTCTTGATGTTTTCTTACAGTAACATAAACAGTTCTTTTACAATGTTCATTAAGCATTATGAGTTTGCAGATGTAAAATGCATTTTACAATTATTTTCAATTTTTAAATTAATACCCACAAATATTTTCAAAGTTATGTGGTTGTTATAAAAGAAAATTGAAACATATGAAAGAAAAAACCCTATTATTGGGTTTTTATGTTTTTTTCAGAGGGGACGTGAACCATCTAGTTCCATGCTTCACACCTTGAGACAATGTTTGATTCAACAACTGATCAGTATTTTACCTGCGTCTGGTGAGAATATCGACGAGGGTCATGTGATCAAGGCTGGTTCCTTTATCAGACTATTCTGTGCCTTGAAAGGCATGGCCACACTCAAGTAAGCTTCCTTACTGGTACTTGAATGGCATAATAATGGCCTTTAGTAACCTGTGACAGAAGTTTACTATTTTTCGTATGAACATAGGGTAGTTCAGATTATTACTGCATCATTATTTTGTTAGATTTTTATTCCCCTCCAATAAAATATGGAGAGGGATATGTAAATGCTTTGTATGTTTGTCCGTTCTTCTGTCTGGATCTATTTCTAAGAATTGGTTTGTCCAATTTTTTTGATCTTTGGTAAGAGTGTGAGTAGGGAAATGGGGCACAAAATGTCATCAAAATTCATCCAAGGGTTTTGCATTATGAAGAAAAAGACATTTAGCAAGAAAACTTGCATTTTCCAGTTTTACAGTTGGCTTGTTGGATTGAAGTAAAACTTGGCACAAATAATATTCATAATAAGGAAATGATGCTCTTCAAATGCAATCAAAATCATCAGAGACAAATTTAATGATATCAAAACCTGTTATTCATTTAAATGGGTTTTTACAGATTCACTGATGAGGAAATGAAGTTGTTGTTAAGACTGGTGACATCACAACCTCCAATTAACCAATCAGGTGCCAGATTTGTTTCGCTAGGGCTATGTATGCTCATAGCATGTCCTTATATAATAGGGTAGGTATTTTATGTATTTTGGAAAACATGTATTAGTATGACATTTTGTGTACTGGTATAATATGGTATTGTTTTGTATGATGTGACATTTTGTGTTTTTAGCTCGGATCAAAGCATAGTAGGGCAATCTTACTCACCTAGGCATCAGCGTTGGTGCAACACTTGGTTAAAAGTTTTGCATGCAACATCTCATCAACCACTAATGATATTAGCTTGTCTTTACCCACTTATTTGAAAGCATAATAGGATGTCATTATTAAAGGCCCATAACTCTTGTCTTGATTTTGACAGAATTATAACAATTTTCTAACTTAGGAAATTTTTCATTATCTTGTTTTATTGTAAAGCACCGTGAATAGTCTAGCAGGCTTTCTTATCGACTGCACCTGTTTTAAGATACACTTTAAAACTACTGAAAGTATTCACTTGAAACTTAATGCATGTCTTCAGGATCATAATTAGAGGTCGATATCCAAGGCCTATAGCTCTAGCATTGATTTTGACTGACTAAAGTCACTTATGGCCATTTTTGACCTGTGAAAATTTTTGGTTTAAGTTTTTCAGGCAACAGGCAACATCAGTCTTCAAAACTACTGAAAGTATTCACTTAAAACTTAATGCTATAAAGTTATCTATATATGACATAAGTTTTATGTCCATGCATCATTTAGGTATAGAATTTGTGGACTTAGTACCGATAACAAGTCTGCACTCAGTCTGATTTAATGAAATTCAAATGGTATATACATGTATTATGAATACGTGTTGAGATTGTTTTTATCCTTTAATTTTATAAAAAAACATTTGTAAAATTGGTATTTTTAAACTGTTTCAGGAGTCAAGAGCAAGAACGTCAGGTTGCTGAATGGATCAGGTGGTTGATAGCCTCGGAAAATCTCTTTCAAAAGTAGGAAATATACATATATTCAATTCATTTTACATTTGAAAGCCCTCACCTCTGTGGGTTTGAATCCCAATTGTGATTCTTTGTATGGAGATTCTTGTATGTTTGTCCGTTCTTCTGTCTGGATCCATTTCTTAGAATCAATTTGTCCAATTTCTTGATTCTTGGTAAAGGAAATCCATGGCTGAGTGGTTAAGGTCATAACATTCAAACCACTTGACTGTGAGTTCGAATTCCGGCAGGGACTTTGGATTCGTTTATGTTAGGAAGCCATCCAGCTAGCTTACTGATCATCGGTGGTTCTACTCAGGTGCTGGTTTGTGTCTGAAATATTGAATGGAAGGACACCTTTCATCTTCCTCCACCAGTAAAGCTTGAAGTTGGTGCAATGTAAAACCCAACCGGAAAAAAGGGAACAAAAAAAAACACATCATTTCAAAGGATTTGCTACATCTGTCCTGATATCCTCACATGCAATCATTTTGCTGCTCTGACCCTAAAGGGCAACACAGTTTGACCACTTAGTTCTTAAATTTCATATCTAGTTTTTAAATTTTATATCTAGTTTATGTAGAAAGTTAAAAACTTACTTAAAACCACTCTCAAATCTGCCTGCTGGATTTGACCAGTATTGGTGTCATATTTGGGAAAAATAGTTATTAATTAAGTAAGGCTCAAGCACAATGTTCCTAAGTCAAGAAAGAGAAACTTTCTGTACCTACCATTTTTTTATGAACTTTACCCCAGAAGTATCCAGTTTTATTACTAAGTGCTCAATGGGCTCCTTTAAAGGGTGTAAATATATATCTTTTGAAACATTTTTATAAAAATTATAAGCAGTAAAATTATATTGGTTTCATTATTACATGGTTGATTCACGAAAAAGCTGTAACATAGAATGTCTCTGTAGTAGTAGAGTTTTTATCCATTTAGCAACGATTTTGTGCATGCTTCATTCACTTTTAAGGCAATTATCTACCATGTTTATTTCATACAAACATTTTCGTAGTATTCTTTTGTAAAATTTAAACAATAATTTTTACAGCAGAGAGCTTTATACACTTTAAGAGTTATAATGGCTGTCAGTCATAATTCGGCATGGCAACTATATTATGATCAGTGACTGGAAAAATTACAATTGATTTGTAAGTCAAGTGAAATACAGGTCAAGATGGCATAAATTTTATTTGCCTTAGTACTCAAATCATGATTTTAAAGAATAATTTTTCTTTTTTTTTCTTCCATAATTTATCATTTTATTATACCCATGTAATTTCTGAAGATGAGTTTTAATATGATTCAATTTAGGCTGGCAAATGTAATTTAGTTTGATTCATGTAAAATCAGAGACAAATTAACAGTAATGGTAATCAAATATATGATGAGATCGTCATTTTATTAATTACATTTTGAGGTCATTGTCTTGGAGTCTTATGCCTGTTAGCATGATCGTGTAGACAGTTTCATTGTAATTGACAATATTAATTTTGTTATTTTCATTTCCAGGCATGCTCTTTTGTATTAAAAGTAATTTTAATGCATTGGCATAAAAGTTACATCATTAGTTGCTGTAACTGCATTTTAATAGATTTCAATTTAAATAAAGTAATCTTAAGAATATAGTCATGCAATAGGAAAATATTGTCTCGAATTATAATACGAATGAGAAATATAAATGGTTTAAATAACGATATGGGATACGTGTTTTAGCTGAAAGGTGCGAGACCAATTATCTTTTATTGAAAACCTACAGGCAACTACGGCTGACTCATTGTCTGAGCTTATAAAATTAAGTTAAACATCCATGTTTACTATGGCAGTAAATACACAAAGTTTCTAAGTCGTAAAGCAGAGTTGTCACTATAAAATGCAATAATCAAATACAGGCAAACCTGTAAACAAAGAACACCAAAAGGAAAGACCAGGCATGACTTTTATAAACAAGTGGTCTTTATTTTGAGGTTACTCTCTTCTATTTTATTAAGGATTGGATGTTGGAGAGTGACCTTTATTACATGCTTTTCGGTGGTTTATAGAAATATATCAGTGATACAAAACTGGTAATTTCACTGTTTTAAACAGTGAAATTATCAATTTGATAATTTCACTGTTTTGAATTTAAGCCCTTTACGTTGTTTCAGTGAAATATCAGCGTACACAGTACTGGGAACCAACTTAATTACGTGACGTCGTAAACGACATCACGTTGTATTATTATTTGGCGCACTTTTCATTCAGTATTAGGTAAAACGTTTCTTTGCATATAATAAAAAGAAAATTTGTTTAGTTTTGTGTAAGATCGAAATATATTTCACCTTGTGATCACCAAAAGTCTATATTTCATTCGTGGCTGCGCCACTCGTGAAATATACCTTTTGGTGCTCACTCGGTGAAATATATTCCGATTTTACACTGAACTAAACAAATATCCTCTATTTATTTTTAGGGAGATCTGTATTTGGAGGTGGTCTTTAATAAAGGTTTAATAAGAAGAATATTTTGCAGTGTTAAACTTGTCTTTGAAAGAAACAATCTTATGATCAATACCAGAATAGTGGTTATGTCTCTCCTGAAATTCAAATTATATTAAATATAATGCTAGTGCTAATTAACCCAACTTTATCAATTTAACTGTAAGATGCTGTTGTGCACAGATGGAGCTTTCAATGAATTTTAGAACTTTTGTCATTTATAAGCTCACCTAAGCACATTTTTGCAGACAAGGTCTGGTGATGATTCTGCATCTGGCATTTATGTCATCAACATTTTACTTTATAAGATATCTGATTATGGAACTCCATATGAATGATCCTCGGCTTGTCCTATGCAAGAAAGATGTAATTATTCCAGACTACTGAACAAGATGTCAGTCAGGGCTAAAAATAGAAATAAGCTTTAAACGTAATCTCTGTCCTGTTTCAATAAAACTCAAATGGTATGATCCTGAAAGTCTTCTACAAAATTACCGAAAATTGTTACAGTTGGCTGACCACCACCAGAGCTTGAAATAGGCTTTAAGTATTTCCCTCCTCAACTTTGAAACAGACTTTTTAATAAAACTGAATAGACATGGTTATTTGACGTTCCTCTACAAAAAAAAGTAAAATTGTCACATTCTGTTAAACATGATATTAATTAAGTAAAAATAAGCTGTTTCCTGATCAACCACCATTGTGCATATTTGATGAAACGTAATTGAAAAAAGTCAATAATGCAATCCTGTTCATTGAAACCATATCCTTAGGTGAGCGATTAAAGGCCATCATGACACTCTTGTATTTATACGTATTTATATATTACAGAAAAGCAGACAAGAGCTCGTCATTTGGGGAGATGCTGTTTTTGATTGCTATACATTTCCATGGTAACCATATGCATGCTATATCTGAATTAGTGTGCTCAACTCTCGGAATGAAGGTAATATAAACAACGTATTTATCGGGAGAGTTATGCCTTTTGACAAGGCTTTAAAATTTCATAGTCTGGAAACTTTATGAAACCATTTATGAATATGTAATATATTTTAACATTTTTATGCCCCCACAATGTGGGAGCATATAGCGTTGTCTTCGTCCGTCCGTCCGTCAGTCCGTCCGTACGTCCTGAAATCTTGTGAACGCAACTCCTCTTAAACCGGATGGCAGATTTTGCTTAAACTTACAGGGATGAACAACCTTAATGTGTAGATGGTAGTAAAGGAAGGAATTTTCGCTGCGACCAAATTTAACAGAATTATGGCCCTTTGTTGATTTTTTCACTAGATACTATGTAGAAATTTTGTGAACGCAACTCCTCTTAAACCGCATGGCAGATTTTGCTTAAACTTACAGGGATAAACAACCTTAATGTGTAGATGGTAGTAAAGGAAGGAATTTTCGCTGCGACCAAATTTAACAGAATTATGGCCCTTTGTTGATTTTTTCACTATATACTATGTAGAAATTTTGTGAACGCAACTCCTCTTAAACCGCATGGCAGATTTTGCTTAAACTTACAGGGATGAACAACCTTAAGGTGAAGATGGTAGTAAAGGAAGGAATTTTTGCTGCGACCAAATTAACAGAATTATGGCCCTTTGTTGATTTTTTCATTATATACTATGTAGAAATTTTGTGAACGCAACTCCTCTTTAACCGGATAGCAGATTTTGCTTAAACTTCCAGGGATTAACAACCTTAATGTGTAGATGGTAGTAAAGGTAGGAATTTTTGCTGCAACCAAATTTAACAGAATTATGGCCCTTTGTTGATTTTTAGTTTTCAACTTGTGGCACATGTAGTCCAAAAAATATTTGACCTAGAGTCATAAGATTGACAGAACAGTGGCGTGTGGGGGCATCCGTGTCCTTTGGACACATTTCTAGTTCTCTCTCTGAACGTAAATAGGATTGCGCTTTGAATGAATGCACTTTAAGTAGTCATTTAAGTCTTGTAAATTCTGAAATAACAAAATGGGATGTATACTGTCTTATTTTATAAATGGTATTCTATTTTAGTAACCTAAATGAAGTAATTTTCTTTTCAGACTCATGTTAAAGCTAATGCTTTAGCTAGGATACGACAGATTTTCACACAAGATATATTCACAGAACAGGTAAAGTTTGGTTCTTGCTTTTTTGCACCGCAAAGTTAGCCCATATTTTCCTTGCTTTGTTTTGCAAAGTGACATGTGAGAAAGCGCTTATATATGTATATGCTTAGTGTTCTTGACCCACACAGGATATTTCTCATGGTTTGTACCATTTGCCTGTTAACTGGTATTTATTTACGTGACGATATATGACCTTCATGTATTTGCTGATACTTTATTACATAAGTGATCTTGACCTATATACAGGTATTACTTATCATACTAATTGACTTTGACCTATTTATATGTTTTTCCTTACATACTTAATGACCTTGACCTATATACGGTAGGAGTTATACCTAGCTTACTTATTGGCTATGACCTATTTATATGTTTTGCCTACATAACAAGTAAACTTGACCTATATACAAGTGATACCCATCATGCTTTTTGACCCTGACATATTAATTGCTTTACCTTATCAAGTAACTTTGGCCTATATAAAAGTGATACCTATCATACTTTTTGTCCTTGACCTATTTATTTGTTTAACCCACATATGAAGTGTCCTTGACCTATTTTCAGGTGATAACCTCTCATGCTGTGACAGTTCCGGTGACAGAAGGTCTCAATGGTAATATGGCAGGCTATTTACCTATCCACTGTATATATCAACTTCTGAAGAGTAGAGCTTTCTCAAAATATAAAGTACCAATCAAGGTGAGCATTGTTTGATAATATTTCTCTTAAGGGACTTATAAGTGTATCTTTTAAGAAAAGTAAGATATTTTGTTGTTTTGCAAATGTTAATCCTATGGATAAGTTTTCAGTTGGTAGACAACTTTATTTCTACACATTTTTCACTCAATAACTGGAGAACCATATTATGCAGAGCCCACAAGCATCATAAGATAATTGCCCTCCCATATAGAGTAGAATACCATAGTATTTGAATTTTAGAGATTGTCGAAACACCTTGTTTCTTAGGTTATTTGGTCACTCTATTCAGGTTGACCTTTCATTCTCAGGTCAATTAATTAATTGTAGGTTACCTTAGATTAGAATGAACACCAGAATTAGAAAATGCCCTTTAGATCATGTAATAAATGACGTCAAAAGACGTTGTCTTTGACATCAATAAAAAAGAAATTTCTTTTGAAATGTTAAAGTTAAATATGAAAAAGTGACAATAAGCAAATTCAGAAGTTTTTTTTTATTTATTCCAAGAGCAATAGAAATGGATATTTTTATGAATAAAATATTTCAATTTATTAAAATAGTAAATGATGTTTTGGGATTTCTCATGTTGGCAGGCAAATATAAATATATATATCGGTACCGTTGGCCTAGTGGTGAAGGCATCCGCTTTCGAATCGGGAGGTCGAGGTTCGAGTCCTACAGGGAGTGTATAGAAGGATGAATGTTTCTCGTGGGACTCATTCCGAAATGGCCGCTTTGTGAGCCGCGAGGTAGTTAAAAATGAATGGTTACCAATTTCTATCCGCCTGGCATAGTGGTAGGAGTTGGGAGGTACATGGTATGCAAGCAAAATATGTCTCATTAGTCAGAAATGGCTGGCCCTTTCAGTAGGGGTGACACTATAATAGACAAGACCTTTATTTTTGTTATAAACTCAACAGACATTGATTCATTTAATTTCTGATTACTTTAATGTACTAAGATTTTTTTTCCAGGACTGGATATATTCACAGATCTCACATTGTTCATACCCGTTACACCCCCTGTTACCATCATTACTCGAGGTGTATGTTAACTCAATACTGGTGAAAAGTGCTAAAACAGACCATACCAATCAACCAATAGAATCGCGAGAAATAGCCGAGTTATTCACAGAAAAGCCTGTTTTTCAAAAGGTGAGTGGTTTTCATATTTAACATTTATGCTTAATTTAGATTTATAATCAGTTTTTATTTTTTTCTGCCTTAAATGCACTTTTATTTGCTTTATTACTTTAAAAATTTCAATACTTTATAACCCTCCTATGCTACAAGCATTCATTTGCAATACAAATTGCATTATTCTTTACTAATAGCTTTAGTTTACCTTTTAATTTACCAGAAATCCTCCATGGCTGAATGGTTAAAATTGTTTACTTTGAATCATTCAGTTCTCGCTACTTTTAAGTTAAAATCCCTGCATTGGACTTTGTGAGGAAGCTATCTGGCAAGATTATGAAAGGTCAGTGGCTTTATACAGATGCCTGCTTGTGCCTGATAAAATGCATAGAGTGGCACCCGAGGTCTTAATTCACCAGTAAAGGCCCCTTGTGGCTGAGCAGTTGCCTTTATGGGTTGAGACATCATAATTGACGCCACCATTTAACCTTGCATGATCCTGAGAGGTGACTAAATGGGTTTGAATTACATTTATGCAACTATCAACTCCAGCAGGTGGGGTGACTTTGACCCCTGGTGATGCTTAGTTTGTAATACTGAGGTTAGCCAAAATCATCTTTACTGTTTGGGCGCCATGTGACCTAAACTGTGTCGGTGCACTGTACGACCAGACAAAATAAATCACCATTAAAGCTGGAAAGCCGCCATTTGACTATTGAAGTGTCAGTTAGGCTTCGAGTATAACCACTTTTATTCCAAAAATTAAAAGGTAACAACTGAATGATAGCCTGATTAATATTGTATTTTTGATCTATATTTTTATAGTGTTGTGCTGGGGAGGTTAACCTATCCCCACACCTGTGTATGCTGTACTACATTCTACTGTACCAGGACACGTTGGATAGTCAAAGAAAAACACTATGTATGTTTTTTTATTTTTTATGTCAGAGTTACTTCCCTTGCCTTTAATATTTCTCAGATGGTGGGGTAAAATCCATTCATTCTGTTTAGATTGAAATTGATAAAGGTTTTAGGTTTAATTAAGTTCTATCTTGTTAACCACCGAAGCTATTCTCTTGTAACTTCACACATACTTTGAGGCATCATAATTGTTCTTCACTGAGCAAGACATGTAACTCTGGGGTGGATTTTCACTGAATTATCTCTCTTTGTTAACTTATGAAAATAATATGGAGGTTATTGTTTTACAGTGGAACGTTGAAAATAGTTAAGAGATTTAAAATGCCACTCATCCGCACGTAATTACGAGTAGAATTTAAGAGAACTCGATGCTGGACGAGTATAAAATTTTTGCCTGCACATTGCATTTGGAAGCTACTCGTCCTGCAAAAAATGATTTTAGATGCCTGTAGTTGCGGATTTTACTCGTCTGAAAATTATTTATAGAAATATATTTATAGAAAAATTCTTTTACCATTATTGACATTTAGATTATAGATATCACGTTTATTACAGTGATGTCAGGACGTAATGTAGAATCCTACCCGGACAGTCTGATGTCAACGTTACCTATAAATTACCTCATTCAACAGTCACAGAAAAGACAGGATTTATATGGAGGTCTCTTCTCCTCACTCCTCAAGTAAGATAGTTCAATGTTCAATGAATCATCTTTTCACTTTGATGTACATGTATATAATTTTTTACACAAATCATGTACATATTGCAAATTAAACCTCGTGAATGCTTTACTTTAGAGTGTATACTTACCAAGTAACCTATTTTTATATGACATTTAAATATATTTGTATGATATTGTACTAAACTTATATGTAATTATGGGGTGTCCTTGGCAGAGTGGTTAAGATTGTTTACTTTAAATAACTTACACTTGTGTATTATATTATAGATTGTTAGTCAGCCAGTTCCCACACCTGTGTATTATATTATAGATTGTTAGTCAGCCAGTTCCCACACCTGTGTATTATATTATAGATTGTTAGTCAGCCAGTTCCCACACCTGTGTATTATATTATAGATTGTTAGTCAGCCAGTTCCCACACCTGTGTATTATATTATAGATTGTTAGTCAGCCAGTTCCCACACCTGTGTATTATATTATAGATTGTTAGTCAGCCAGTTCCCACACTTGTGTATTATATTATAGATTGTTAGTCAGCCAGTTCCCACACCTGTGTATTATATTATAGATTGTTAGTCAGCCAGTTCCCACACCTGTGTATTACATTATAGATTGTTAGTCAGCCAGTTCCCACACCTGTGTATTACATTATAGATTGTTAGTCAGCCAGTTCCCACACCTGTGTATTTTATTATAGATTGTTAGTCAGCCAGTTCCCACACCTGTGTATTATATTATAGATTGTTAGTCAGCCAGTTCCCACACTTGTGTATTATATTATAGATTGTTAGTCAGCCAGTTCCCACACTTGTGTATTATATTATAGATTGTTAGTCAGCCAGTTCCCACACTTGTGTATTATATTATAGATTGTTAGTCAGCCAGTTCCCACACCTGTGTATTATATTATAGATTGTTAGTCAGCCAGTTCCCACACCTGTGTATTATATTATAGATTGTTAGTCAGCCAGTTCCCACACTTGTGTATTATATTATAGATTGTTAGTCAGCCAGTTCCCACACTTGTGTATTATATTATAGATTGTTAGTCAGCCAGTTCCCACACTTGTGTATTATATTATAGATTGTTAGTCAGCCAGTTCCCACACTTGTGTATTATATTATAGATTGTTAGTCAGCCAGTTCCCACACCTGTGTATTATATTATAGATTGTTAGTCAGCCAGTTCCCACACCTGTGTATTATATTATAGATTGTTAGTCAGCCAGTTCCCACACCTGTGTATTATATTATAGATTGTTAGTCAGCCAGTTCCCACACCTGTGTATTATATTATAGATTGTTAGTTAGCCAGTTCCCACACCTGTGTATTATAGAAGATTGGCTGGAAGAAACTATGACACCTTCAATGACTACAGGTGACCTAACTTCAGCCACTAAACCTAGATGTACCATTGACAACTTTAGAACAGGTGAGACAAGAATATTTACATAAATTCTCAGTAATCTTTTTCTAAAAGTTGAAAACTTTCTACTTTTTTTAACGCGTAAAGCTAATTGTATACGTTGTTTTCTGTAATCAACAGAAAAATAACAATGTTTTGAGGAAAATCATATGATGATATCATGATGATATCAAGTACCTGAATTGAAAGAATCATATTAATAAATAAGTTTTATGAAAGCAAGCAGTGTGTGGTTGGGAATCATAAACAAATATTAGCGAGTACTTTTTTTTACCTTAGAGTATTTCATGAGGGTAAAATAACAGAAACCATATTTTAAAATTCTGTTTTGATAAATTTTAAAATTTTGTTTTGATAAATGAACGAGGGTGGGGAATATAAAATGACTGACACCTTAGAGAAATAGAATAGTTTCTCAGATTTAGTTATACATCATATGAAAGAAATGTGTAATACAATTGTTGTTAACCCATATTCTGCTGGAACTGAATATGACTAGTGGTTTTTAACTGCATAGAGCCAAGCTAGTCTGCATGTCCATACAGCCTGAACCTCAAATATGTTTTTTGATATTCCAAAAATTGATCATGGACTGTCCCAAAAAATGTAAGCTGGGCAGATACATTTAAGTAATTCAGTCAGTTAAGGGTAAATTCTATATACTTGTAAATAATTTATGTAATATTTTTAAAAACATGCATCCATTTTCTCATGTTTTCCAGCCCTAGCCTTACTACCAGACTGTGCCACAGAAATGCTGATTGTATTAGGACGGATGCTCAGTCTGCCTGTGGAAGAGTTACTCCCCTTTACTGATGAGATTGTAAATTGTCTGCCCATCATTTTGTCACCGCAAGTACCAAGGAAAGTTACTGACCTTGTTAACAGGATTTGGTTTAAGATCCACTCACTTACACCTAGAAGGTATGTTACTATGCCATATATAAAGAAAATTTAGGGACTATCTCTATTTCAAGAAAACGTTTTTTGGAAAAAAATAGCGAATATTAATAATTTAACTTGCAAGTCATTCATTGACTTAAGAATTATGATCTAACATTAAAAACCACTGGTTAAGTTTTCGCAAAAAAACTTGGGTTAAATTCTCGTAAAAAACTGCTGGTTAAGTTTTTATGCATTTTGACATTATTTCTATTATTTGCTTACTAAATCAAGATTAAACTGTGCTTAAATAAATGTTAACTTTTCTGCAATGACCTATGTAATGTGGGGACAGACGGTAAAAAAAGGAATTACTTCTGGCTGCAGCTTTATTTTTATGAGAGAAATATTTATTCTTTTTTCAGTTTACGACTGGCTACAGTAAATGCACTGAGACCACAACGTAAAAATGCATTCAAGTTTTCACTGTACACTGAAACAGATGTGACTGTAGATCCATTGATAGTGCTCAGATGTGATGAAAGAGTTTTTAGGTGAAATATTCATAACTTTGTTCCTCTTATAGTATTTTGTTTAATAAATAAAAACACGTGAACATTTTTAAAAAAAACATACCACATTAAGAAAATTGAAAGATAATTAATGTGTGTAGATTAATTTATGGTCAGTAACTTCAATTATGACTATAAAATTATGTGGATTCATTTTGATAAATTCTGCCTGCCAAGCCTATTTTTGGATCAAAAGGTCAAAGATTTAAGGTCTCCTTGACCATTAATTCAAATTGTCTCATTATTTTAGAAACGTGCAATGTACTATCCAGCATTGAGAAAAGTGGAACATGCTGCTTCTAGGACAGCTCTTGCCTAGTTTGAAATGTTGATGCACTCATGATTCAACATCATGAGAGGGTCTGCAGTCACAACCATACAACACAAGTATTGGTTAGTTCCATGATGTTGAATCGTGAGTGCATCAACATTTCAAACTATGCAAGAGCTGTCCTAGGAGTCCCTGGGGTTTATTTTGTAACTTTCAATTGGGAATTTTTTCCAGTGGATTGGGCAGACATGTTAACCACTAGATCACATCTTCCCTCTACATAATTTTAATGGATTTGTTTTCTATAACAAAGAGCATACTTTGTTTTTACTCTGGTAATGTATGATAAAGGAGAAATATGATATACTTAACGAAAGCTAGGCATTTCATTTGTTTGAAAAACAATTCAGGCAGAAATGTTATATATATACTAATAAATGTTCAATATTTAATATTGAAGATGTGCGCCATTGTTAGAGATAGTGTTACGTATTTTGTCGGCGTACACATTGGCGTGTAGAGTTTACATGGAGAATCACATACAGTCAAACCCTGTATTAGACGGCAACAATCAGACCGACCAAGATCGGCAAGAACTAAAGGGGGCACTGTTGGCAGCACAAGAGAGTGCAGTAATACAAATTTTGCTCGAATACTGCATGGAAAATGAAAATGAGAAACAGGTATGGGCAGGTAGTCTTATAAAATTTTACGTAAGATTTTGTGAAATTGAAAAGGAAAAACTGTAAAAAACTTATAAGTTCACCCTTTTGGGATGAAGGAGACAGAGTATTCTCACATGATCATAGTGACTTTAATCACACACCAGTGCCGATTTTGTGACTATGGTATTGCACAGCGGTGCATATATTTTGATATGACGTCATTAGCATTATACAAACATAGCATAAAGACCCACTAAATGTTAGCGATATACTATAGGCGCGTCATTGAAAAATGACTCTTATTTCACTTTAATTGGTATGTGATAAATAGAATATTAAGTTCGTGTAAGTTGATTACTGAATTTATTGTACTGGCTGAATAAAATAATATTATGCTCGCCAGAGGCTAGCATGATATAATTTTATTCAACTTGTGCAATAAATTCAGTATTGAACTTACACTCATTTAATATCCTCTATTTATTCGGAGTTGCATAATAAAGTCGATAATATTATATTATAGAGTGTCTTTATACAATGTGCTTAAGTTCTGATAATTTATATCTGTAAGGAACATAGAGCTTGTTGATTCAGAGGGTAAACTACCAACACCACCACCAAAACTGGCTTTCTAATTGGCTAAATAATGCATAACAAGTGACAAGTCTTCAAAGCATTGAAGTTAACACATTTCTTGGTGACATAAAGTATTTCTAGGATGCATTGACATGCAGATTTTTTTAAAAAAAAACTATAAACATGCTGAAAATTCTATTTGGGGTTTCTTGTCACATTTGAAAGAGAGTCATTATATTCAGATGCAAAATATAGTAATATCTCATGGGAAAGTTAAAGGGACTCCTCTGGGACTGGAAATAATTTTTCGAGATTAATGTTCCATTTGATGTATGTCTAGACCAATAACTTGTGCGAAATTTTCAGATCATTCACTCACTCTGTTGGTCCATAATATTAATAATTATTCTAATTGTGTAAATGATCCAAAAATTGAAAAGCAACACTTTTCACTCAAAACCGGTTGAGAATAGCACAAAAATATGATTTTAATTTATTTCTGAGTATATTTCTAAATTACCTTTTGCATATCTTTCTGTTCTAAGTGCCTAAGCTGATCTATGTAAGACAGGGATTTTTTCCAGGATTTTTGGAACATGACCCATTCCCATAGAATTAGGAATTTCAGCAGTGTTTGGTAAAAAATTGGGGAAAAAATGCATAACTGAAATTTCGAGTGATTAAATGAATGCAAACAATTACTGTCTAGGATGGCATCTTCAAACATTTAAGCACTTTTTCAGTGAAGAGGCCCTTATTTTCAAAGATTTTAGAATTTTTATTCAATATTTTTATTTTGTAACTTTCAATTGGGAATTTTTTCCAGTGGATTGGGAAATTAATATACTATATTCAATTGGGAATATGACCCAATAACGGCTATAAAATAAGCCAAAAAAATCCCTGTATGAAATTCAAACTTTGTTTTTGTGCTTTTGGACCTCAGTGAAGTTCCTTTAAAATGAAGGTTGTTGTAGAGAATCACAGGTTAGACTGTATATGCAACTGTTTACAAAATAAACTCAATATTGTTGTTTACATTTATTTCCCTTTGTTTGAACGGGGGTTTGGTCAGACAGAAATAAACATGCTGGCAGCAGGCAGGTCTTCCTATTTTCAGACACTACACTATTATGATAACCATGCTTTTAATGTTTGTATGTTTCAGGACAGAGATGGTATGCTAAACAATCTACAGGAAGTGAGATCAGTCATGTGTTCATATATTCATCAAACTTTTATCTCAGATCCTAATCTCGCAAAACTCGTACATTTTCAGGTCAGTACTAACATTTTTGTATCTGAACAATTCCTAATATACCTATTAGGGGCCTCAGTGAGTGGTTAAAGTCGCTCACTTCAAACCACTGGCCCCTCAAGCCGTGCGTCCAAATACTACCACTCATTTGTTGTGTCGCCTCTACGGAGTAGTGGCGACATATAGGGATCACTTCTCCGTCGTCTGTCTGTCCGTCTGTCTGTCTGTCCGTCTGTCTGTCCGTCCGTCCGTCACAAAACTTGTCCGGACTACTGCTCATAAACTACTGGTGCAATTTCATCCAAACTTTACTGGAATGATCAGTACCAAGTCTAGTTGTGCATATTGTCAGCATTTTCCGGTTCAATGATTTTTGTCAGAGTTATGGCCCTTTAATAATTTTTAATTTTAAAGTTTGTCCGGACTACTTCTCTTATACCACTAATGCAATTTCAATGAAACTTTACAGGATTGATCTGTAGCTCAAGTCCTTGCGCATATTGCACGGGTTTTCCGATTGAATGATTTTTGGCCGAGTTATGGCCCTTTGACAAAAAGGTGTTTTTTTCTATGTGTTGCCAGATACACAAAAGCTTGTCCGGACTACTGCTCATAAACTACTGGTGCAATTTCATCCAAACTTTACAGGAATGATCAGTACCAAGTCTAGTTGTGCATATTGTCAGCTTTTTCCGGTTCAATGATTTTTGTCAGAGTTATGGCCCTTTAATAATTTTTAATTTTAAAGTTTGTCCGGACTACTTCTCTTATACCACTAATGCAATTTCAATGAAACTTTACAGGATTGATCTGTAGCTCAAGTCCTTGCGCATATTGCACAGGTTTTCCGGTTGAATGATTTTTGGCCGAGTTATGGCCCTTTGATAAAAAGGTGTTTTTTTCTTTGTGTTGCCAGATAAGCAAAAGCTTGACCGGACTACTCCTCATAAACTACTGCAATTTTATCCAAACTTTACAGGAATGATCAGTACCAAGTCTAGTTGTGCACTGTCCGTCTGTCTGTCCGTCTGTCACAAAATTTGTCCCAACATGAAATTGGCCATCATGAGGCGACACATGTGATTACTGATCGCTCTTGTTTTATGTGAGGAAGGCATCCAGCTAGCTTACGGAAGATCAGTTGTTCTACTCAGATGTTTGTTTATGCACAAGGAAAGCTGAGGACAGTGTTTATGTCCCAGTGGTTAAGATCACTTAATCTTATCACTTGCCATCCATTGCTGTGAGTTCGAATCTTGTCAGGGACTGTGAATTCTTTCATGCGACGGAGCTATCAAGCTAGCTTATATAAGTTCAGTGATTCTGCTTGGATGCTTGTTTGTGCTTAGGTGCTGGCAAGAAATAAATGCGGAAAAGTTTTCATGTGACCTTAACAATAGCACTTTTAGCAGTGTTACTTTGAACCCAACAAATGACAATATGTCGAAATAATATTCTGTTGACAAGGGATACAAGCAAACAATAATTAGAAAACTTTTTATCAGAGATAAAGCAGGTAAACACGTAAGTATCTTACATCGGCTGCCGGTACAGACCAGAATATCTAGTGCTTGAGGGTAACTGTTTACAGCGGTAACAAGGCTCTGCTGAGTTTCCACTTTACTGTTACGGTGTGAACAGAAGATAATCCTGTCTGATATGCAAAAAAATAAGGTATGATTGTCTTTTATTTCAGGGTTATCCGAATGAGTTACTACCTGTTACAGTGTTGGGTATACCATCAATGCATATATGTCTGGACTATATACCAGAGATGTTGAGTCAGCCACAGATGGATAAACAGGTAATACGGCAAAATCATTAATATAGTGGGGCAGTACTGTATATGAGGTTAAGTAAGCTACGCAGAAGTATTTGTGAAAATCGCGAAAATTTCCTCTGGCATAAATATCAACCAGCCTGTCATTAAAATCTACCCTGGTACGATTCGCTAATATTTCCTCATGGAAATTGTCTGGAATTTTGAAGTTGCTAACTTTTCGGCACGCGGAAATATTCATTTATATAGTAATTATTTCAGGATTTTAAGGAAAGGTTGATTAGCATATTTAAAATCACAATGAAATATTATTCTGTGTATTTATTTTTACTGTCGGCAATGATTATTGATATAACTTAAGTCAATTACATTATTTGTTCACCATGACGAGATGGTGTCTTGTTTATTAGAGCCTTGAGCAGGGTTCTAAGGTCAATGTCATACTTAAGTGGTCAGAAGTCAAAAATTGATCATCAGCAACATATTTATATCATTATTATATTACATGTATGAGAAAGGAGATTTTTTAACAATTTATTATTTCACAGTCAAAATAAAATGTTTTCTTGTGCCTTTTGATCTATCTGTGAAGGTCAAAGGTCAAAGTTAGATTCAACAGTTAGTTTAAAATGGCTCATCTGGACTATTACTCTATCATTATAAAATTGGTGAATTTTAAATAAACTCACTTGAGATGTTTATTTTGATAGATATCTAACAGTTTTATAAGTTGTGATGTAAAATTTGTAGTAAAACTTTTATTAAAATACTTATAGAATTGTCACCTTAGTGCAGTAATGGATTACCAAAGTTAAGATTTATCTATGATTTGATTAATTCCAGATATTTGCCATCAAATTGACGTCACATCTTTGTTGTCAGTATGCATTACCAAAGTCTCTCAGTATCGCTAAGTTATGTATCAATGTGATGTTTGCCATGATTGGGGGTAAGTTTGTCGGATTTTGTTGAAAAATATACAACATAATTAGTTTATACAGAATTAATTTTAGTTTGATCATGTAGGAAAGACACACTCTTGAATCCGTTACTGGAACCAACCAGGACTGAGCAATGAGTGTTCCATATAATTTTTCTGCAGAGAGCCACCCAGAATGTTTGTCAAATTTCTTTAAGATGTTTTCAGCTTTTGCCCAATTTCTTTCAGATGGTTTCACTTTTTCCCAATTTCTTTTAGATGGTTTCACTTTTCCCCAATTTTATTTCAGGTGTTTTCACTTTTTCCCAATATTTTCCCCCAGATATTTTCAGCTTACAATATTTGCATATTCCCTGTACAGTTTAGCTATGTCATTGTCATTTAGCTACGTTTGTGATATAACTATCTTATATTTCTATTTCTTACATTTACATGTCCTGGCAAGTAGTAGAGAGCATAAGACTATGATTGTAAGGTTAATTTCAAATAATATTTATCTTATATATACAGTTTTGGATGCAAAGAAGAGGGTAGAATTTTTCTCAGAGACATTACCATATTTGGTGAAGATTTGTCAAGCTTTTCCTCCACTGTGTGAAGATGTAACAAGTTTGCTGATACAGATTGGGCGTGTCTGTCTTTCACACTTGACTGCCTCAAGTAACGTCCCAGAAACAGGTAGACGATTTAATAGTACACATCTGCCAACAGAAGGGTTTGTTGTTGATGTTTCTGTTGCATGTTGAAATTGCAAAAGATCTTATTCAGACAATTATGTTAGAGAAGTCATTTACACCAAGTTAATTTGATTTACATGTATTAATTTAAACAGAATTTATTTTGTTGATATGTGTAGAAGCTATAAGCTTATGGATATACTTGAATCCATTCCTGGAAGGAAGCAACGGCTTGCCCTTAACAGGGTTTGAACCAGCGCAATCCCTAGATTATTATTCCAACACGTTAACTACTTGTCCATGTCACAACTCCCACATATTTTGATATATTCCAAAAGGCAGCCATGAAAATGGTCTTTTATTACCACCAGACAACACTTTAATATTATGTTAAATGTTTCATATTATGTTAAAAGATAAGTCAGTGTTTTCTTTCTGTCTGATATTTGTTTGTTTTTATGCAGATTTCAACACAATTTTGGTCATATCTTTGCCATTTGTCCACTAATCAGCTTTCCTGGATAACTAATCACTGATTACCAATTTCTTTACAAGTGACCAACTACTGAATCAGGGGTGAGAGAGAGATGATCATCGTCTGAAATAAATTCTCCAGACATTTTGCCTCATACTAGTATCAAACCCTTCACTCCTTTATTACCAATCTGATGCTCTCCCTATTGAGCCAAGCAACCGGACTGATATTGTACTGATTGCTATGAATTCAATATAAACATCTTCTCATTTAATTCTTACCTTGACAGATGATTCTAGCACAGTAGCTGCTAAGGAAGAGAAAATAATTGGTTACAATTTGTAAACATTTAAACTTTTGTCTTTCAGATCCAACAATTGATAGTTGTTGCCGGGTGGAAGAAAGTGAAGGGGAACCTCCTCATAAACGGTTAAAGTTACATCATGAACTGTCCGCCACATACCATAAACTGTACAGTGTTATACAAACTACATTTAAATCCATCGTTACAAAATCAGTAGCAACGAAAGATGTGTACTGACATTATCATATACATGTGAATAAATAAATGAAAAAAAGTTTATTCTTGTGAATTGTTTCCTCTTTTTAGCTCGACTATACAAACTATATGGAGAGCTGTCCTAATCGCCCCGGCGTCGGCGTCCGCGTCCAGATTTTAGATTAAAGTTTTGGTGAAGTAAAATATTTTTCACTATAACTTTGTCATTTCTTAAGGTATCAACTTCAAACTTCAAATAAATGTTCCTTATCATCAACCACTTCTTATGTGACAAGGTTCATAACTCTAGCACCAATATTTTCAGATTTATCTCCCCTTGAACTTAGAATTTTCCTTAAAAAATACTATATTTTACTGTTACTTCTTTATTTCTTAAGGGATCAACCTCATACTTCAAATATATGTACCTTATCATCATCCCCATCTTATGTGACAAGGTTCATAACTCTAGCACCAATATTTTCAGATTTATCTCCCTTTGAACTTAGAACTTTTCTCCAAAAAATACTATTTCTTACTGTTTCTTCTTTATTTCTTAAGGGATTAACCTCATACTTCAAATATATTTATGTTATCATCATCCCCATCTTATGTGACAAGGTTCATAACTCTAGCACCAATATTTTCAGATTTATCTCCCTTTGAACTTAGAATATTCCATAAAAAATATTATTTTTTACTGTAACTTATTTATTTCTAAAGGGATCAACTTCATACTTCAAATATATTTACGTTATCATCATCCACATCTTATGTGACAAGGTTCATAACTCTAGCACCAATATTGCAAGAATTATCTCCCCTTAAACTTAGATTTTTTTACTAGAAAAATGTTTTTTTTTATTATAACTTTTTTATTTACCTCAAACTTCAAATACTTATTCCTTATCATCAATTACATTTTATGTGACAATGTTCATAACTCTTTAAGCAATATTTACAGATTTATCTCTCTTTGAACTTAGGATTTTCTTTAAGAAATATAATTACTTCTTTACTTTTTAAGGTATCTACTTCAAACTTCAAATATATATTTCTTATCATTACACAAATGTTGTGTGACAAGGTCCATAACTCTAGCATGACTATTTCTAGAATTATTCCCCTTGATCTTGGAATTTATGTTAACAAATGTTATTTTTTTACTATAACTTAATACATAATTATACATAATTGATTTTTCTTTCATAGTTTTGTCCTCTTTACTGCGTCCAGGATTTTATTAGTCGAGCTTCGCTGTCTTCTGTGACAGCTCTTGTTTTAGTGCACGTTTGCATGTGTCGACAAATTTTACTGGAGGAAACCAGGCTTAGTGATGCATATGTCATGTGGTCGATATTCGTGTTTTTGAATATCGTTTTTATGTATCATTTTGTCCTTGTATTTGTATATATATATCTTGTATTTGTCTGTTTACAGTCCGATATACAATCCATTATCCCATATCATTCCTATATCATTCCATTTCATCATCTCATTATAACAACTAATTTCTCATATTTCATTTTGACATACATTTTAATTTGCATGCCGGGCCTCAGTTTTTACAAACTTCCCGGAAAATCCATCTCACGCATGCGCACTTTGATATAAATATTTCTATTGGTTTGCGCCAGAAATTGTCATCTTATTTGTTTATTTATTTATCAAGGCGTATGTTTTATGTCCTTACAGGTAATTGTTGTTATTCATTATGTTTCATTATCATGTATATTTCCATTGATCGTTTATGTATTTCGGAACTGTATTTATGCACTTTGATATAAATATTTCTATTGGTTTGTGCCAGAAATTGTCATCTTATTTGTTTATTTATTTATCAAGGCGTATGTTTTATGTCCTAAGAGACATAAACAGACCATTTCCTACATTTGAAAAGGACCATACGACACAAGGAAAAAAGCTCTTTTTCCTAAGATAAAGTTCTATTTTGGTAGGTTTAATTATTCATATTCTTGTTTTGGACGAGTTCCAAGTTACGTCTAAAACAGATAACATGAAGGTCACATTGCCACTTTTCAGCTGTATTTGTGAAAAGAAAACCAGGTGTCAAACCATGTTTAGTTTCTGGTTAAATCTTGTTTGAACCACCAGTTCACTGTAAACTTCCTCACACAAAAAAAATCCAACATCCACAGAAAAATTTGAATGTCTAGCCTTTCGAGACAATTAATTTTCAGTTAAGTAATTTAAACCATTGGGTCCTTAATGGCAAATATATTTAAATCAGTCTATTCATTTACGTTTCTGCAGAAATGATTTATTAAAGTCAAACATTAAATTTTGCACCGTGCAGGATGTTTATTTAGTAAAGCAGACTGAAAGTTGCACTTTCAAGTGTAGCAGACAAAAAGTAACACCTTCAAGTGTAGTGTGACAGACTGAAAGTTACACCTTCAAGTGTAACAGACTAAGTTTCACCTTAATGTGTATCAGAGTGAAACTTGCACCTTCAAGTGTTGCACCTTTTCATGTAATAATGGGAACAAATAAATACAACAAGGATATAAAATCAGACTGTATATTTCATTAAATGCTGCCTTTTTCAATGGTCATCAGGGACTTTACAGAATACATATAATACAAGTATCTTTAAACATGCAAACATTTATTTGAACAGTACTACAGCATTCACACAATCATGGGTGAAAGTTTTCAGGATTATTCCTGAAGTTCAGGATTTTCAGTCTATTGAAAGCCTTCTATTTCCTATGTAAAACTTTAGAAAAACTGCTAAATTCAGGACTTTCAGGATTTTAAAAATTTCCAACTTTCACCCATGCACAATTAATTTGATATTTGTACTTGCTTTAAAATTGTTGTCCTTCAAACAAATTTCATCAATGCACATACTTGTGTATTTTTTTAATAATTAGACCTTTGCACTTAAATGTTTTTTATAGCCCACAAAAAAAACGTGTATTATAAGATTTACATGAAAAATCAAATTTATCTCGGTATTCAATCACAACAGAAGTAATTTTTAGACAATTATATTTTTGGCACCGTATTACTTTTATGGTATCACTATTACCCATTTGACTTTCCAGCTGACCTTGGAAAAGACCATGTCATTTGTCTCCCCATACTATGTATCAAACATGATCCTGCACTTATGTAGAACAACCAACATTTACAAGCAAGCTTGGAAGTTTAATTTAACGTCTGTGGCATGTCTCAAACCCATAATGGTGAGAGATAGTAAGTCAAGGTCAAGGACCTTAACCACTTGGCCGCAGAGGTCTCTTAATGTCAATGGAGGGTCTTAAACCCATAGTGGCAAGAGGCAAATGATTTAAACTGTAAGTCCATGACCATGTCGGGACTCTTTCCAGGTTAACTCCATACATACATATTTCAATTATCAAATAAAATAATTACTGGCATGAAACATTTAACAAATATATAATAATTGTAAACAATTTCGCTGTAAATGAATCCATGAACACATATTATACCACATACTTCAATGATAGCCACCACCATTTAAGCCCAACATAAAACATTTTTCTTAATATTATGTAAACAACCAAAATGCCATTTGTATAATAAAACATACAACACAATGAATCTATGTAATTACAAATTTTGTTCAGCACTAAAATAACACAATCTTTGGAACATAGCATGTTTACTGTGAAAATAATTTTATTCACGCATTTCAGGTAAGATCAAGATATTAAATTAAATCCTTGGGAGTAAATAATAACAACTAATTAATTTGCAGGGGTGGGGGGAAGGTAACAGATAAAACCCAAGGGAGTAAACATTAATAGCTTATTATTTTGCTGAAAAAAAGTAAGATAAAACCCAAGGGAGTAAACAGTAACAGCTATTTAAGTTTTTTAATCTTATTATTTATTGAATTCACAACAACTGAATATTTAATGAAAAAGTGATAATAATCAAATATTAATGAATCATTGAGATTTAGTAGAAAAGTGAACAAGATATATCGTTTCTATCAGGAGCACTGGGTGCAGGAATTTTTCAAAATATTTCATTTTAAAATGATAATGTTAAGATTTCCCTTGGCAAGAAAAAAATTAATTCATTACATACACTTAGCGACACCTTCAATCATGACATGAAAAATATTTCTTGACAATAAAATATGTGCAGAAATAATGAGTATTAACCATTAAAGTTGCACACCTCAGGATGAAATGTAAGAGATGTATAAATTTAAAAAAAATCTTAGAAAAAGTGAAACTGTTAACTGTTTATGCAAAATATAACAAAATAAGGATTTTTTTTAACACTTAAATTCTTCCCTGTAACTAAGCATACACGAAATTATTGCATATTTAGACTAACTTTAGGTTATGCTTGTTGACTGCAAAGCACTGAAATCAATTTATGTATATATGTGTCAGCACTTGACTACTAATAACAGTTTTTCAGTTTTCATACAAAATAAAACCATAAAATCCAGAGGTGTGTTACTTTAAGGAATATTTATTGAAAATACATGTATGTATATATATATGCAATGACAATTATCTACAAATACCTTCTTTTTGCAATAGCTGCCTTTGAAGACATTATGACAAAAAACACCTTCAAAAATGAAATTTGCAAAATGAATGTGAATAAAATATATATAATGGTATGAATAACATTTTTTAAAACTGACCGAGTGCAACACTCTGCTTCTACTTTCACTACAATACAACCTTCTCAGGACTAATTCATACACAGTTATAAGTATTTGCCACAAATACAAAAATCAACATGAATCTGCAGATTTGATGTTATAAGTTGATTTATACAAAATTCATCACTCAAATATAGCACTAGAGTAAATTTTTTGGGGTTACACATTTTTTTCTTTCTTTTTATTTTTGTTGCGCCACTTTTCCATGTAAAGGTGGAATGATTTCGAATTGCCATGATAAAATTTGATGAAGATTCTAGTCAATGAAAATATTGCAAGTAACTGAATGCCTGATAAACAACTTTCACTACCTTTTAAAACAAACATATATATTCACTGAGCATATTAATAAATGATGTAAATGACAGATCCATTCTTTATGCATTTATAATGAGATTGATATAGGAATGATATATATTTTATAATGGAGACTAGATTTTTTTGTACGCATATCTGGATTTTTTTTTATTAAAATAAAGCATCTTTAATATAAAGCACAGTATCGACATTTCCACCTAGGACATTTGTCCCCCACTCTAAGACTGCATTATCAAACATTTGCCCCCAGTGGAAATATCACCTTGGACATTTACCCATAAATTAAAATATCATGCATAAAAGGATAAACACATTCAAAGTAAACATATTTCTGCAAGTAAACCTAAAGCCAAAGTATTTTGAAATATTGAGCATTTTAATGAGATACTTTGTTAATTTCCACTTTTGTATAGCAACTGGGAGATACATTTTTAATTTTGAGGAACAAAATGTCCTAGGAAGCAAAAGTCTCCAATTTATAAAAGCACACCAGAAAAGTGCATGTTTGTCTCTTCTATATAATTTCATGAAAAATTGCCAGTTTAAAGGTCACTTCTGGTTAAGGTCATGATGATTTTTATAGGTCAAGGCTGCAGGTTAAAGGTCATGCTCTGCCACACTCTGTTTTAAGTAGTCTGCATATAATGTTTGCTGAAAGATAAAATATAATTCATTTATTAAAGATCATAATTGTTTATTTATTTTTTCCTATTTCTAAAGAAGCAACCAGAGGCCAAAGTTATAGAGAAATTCTCCAAACTCAGATCTCAAGGATTTGATTGATCAGAAACTGTCAAAGAATGTACACTGACCAATGAAAAACCGAAGATTTGAGACCGAACTAATGAAAAAGTTTTATAACCCCTGGTATTAAAATACTTATAACAATTACAGTTCAAAATGTTCATCTATAGCAACACAGACTCCTTGGAAAATGGTTTTTATGTAAGTAAGTTACTCTGCTTTGTATTTGGAACAGTCCATTCAAATTTTTAAGGAATTTTAATATCAAAATACAAAAATTGAGCTAGCAATTTGTGTAAAGGTGAATGACTTTCTGTTCCAGCAGGTAAAGTGTTAAGTCTTGTTTTTTGGGGTTTTTTTAAATATAATATTTTTTTCACAGCCATTCAAGCAAGTATTTGTTTGTTTGTTTTTTTGGTTTTACGTCACATCGACACAGTAAAGGTCATATCGCGACGTTCCAGCTTTACTTGCGGAGGAAGACCTCGGGTGCCTTTCCGTGCATTATTTCAGGCACGAACAGGCACCTGAGTAGAACCATCGACGTTCCGTAAGCTAGCTGGATAGCTTCCTCACATGAAAGAATCCAAAGTCCCTGTCGGGATTTGAACCCACAGTGGTGAGGGGCAAAGGTTTGAAGTCAACCATCCGGCCACGGACGCCCCAAGCAATATAACTATATCAGTTAATTATATGTAAAAGTACAAAATTATTTTTAAAGTTTTTTAGGTTTTTTTTCTCGATATTAAAGTGTTAAAAGAATTTAAACATGGGTAAGGAAATACTTGTATATACAAAACATATAAGTAAATACCTTTTTAGACTTGACAATACTTTGTACATAGTCTTTCATCTCAAGCAAAGACCTTCTCTGTTTCCTGGACAAAGTGGGTTTTGTTCTGGAAAAATAAAACATACACATACAAACATGTTTAAAAAAGCCAGACGATGAAATTTCATTACCAAATCAAGAACATGTTGCTAGAACCATCAATTAAGAACCTCAGCAACATTCATACATCTTTAAAATGAGAAAAAATAGAAATATGTTTTTTTTCAACTTCAAATTGAATTGATCCCTGGATGTGATACAGAGTCCAAGGTATATAAATAGCAAGAACCAAAAAAAAAAAAAAAACCAAACATTTCAGGTATAAATAAATAAAGTACAATGGAAAATGGTATTTAACACAACTGAAGGATGTGAGGAAGAAAAACTAAATGCTCCAGAACATAAAAATCGTATGAATATTAAATACAAACCAATTGTATTAATTTATTAATATAAAGTTTTGTAAACCTTAAATTAAAAACTTTTTGTACACTTTCAACGATTTTGTACACCCTGTTTCTTTTTTCCAAAAGAACTTGAGAAAAACAAGAAGGACAACTCTGAATTTTCATAAAACTAATTTGAAACAATGAATGATTTCCCCTACCTTGATGCAAATTTAGCCACTAGCAGCATGAGTAGGGCAACACCCAATATGGCAAATAAAACGTACATTGTGTAGTCTTTTGGTATAGAACTCCAAGCTGTAGTCAATGGTCCCTGAAATACACAAAAATTGTCACCAACATATTTCTCTCAATATTTTATCATGAAACAGAAAATTATACTAGAAAATATTCAATATGCATATATGAACATTTATTTACATACAAATCATAAAACCATTCATTTGTATGCATTAAGCTCCGGCTAATATTTCAGGTGTTGAATACACAATAATAATACATGTATCAGAATACCCACACTCCTCCCTCAGTTGGGCTGTAAATTAATGAAAAGACCATTAACTACAGGCCTACCAGTCAACTTTACAAACAAAAACTGTACTGTATATATGCAACAAAAGTTTTGTATAACTGATATAGTCTGAACGTCTGAAACTATTTCCAGTCTATAAAAACTGTATCAAAAGAATATCAAGATAGTGAGATAGAAGGATAACTTGGCTTATATGGTCATAGAAATAATATCTCACCACTGAGGCAGTATGCTTTGAAAATTTATATGCCATTTGACATTTCATTTTCTCACCCACATAATGATATTTGCTATTTGTATATATTCTTTCTTATTCAGTATGTTATGCTATATTAATTTATAAACCACTTTCACCAATGAACAGCCACATGTCCTTCCTAACCTTGAAGTATTCTAAATCAACCTTGTAGTCAGTACATCTGTATATTGGTTCAATGATACAAAGTAAGTACAAATTATATGGCCATGTCAGTTAGTACAAGTTATATGACAATGTCAGTTAGTACAAGTCATATGAGGATGTCAGTCAGTACAAGTCATATGAGGATGTCACTTGGCCACATCATTTACTACAACTTATATGACCATGTCAGTTAGTACAAATTATATGGCCATGTCAGTTAGTACAAGTTATATGACCATGTCAGTTAGTACAAGATATATGGCCATGTCAATTAGTACAAGTTATATGGCCATGTCAGTTAGTACAAGTTATATGGCCATGTCAGTTAGTACAAGTTATATGGCCATGTCAATTAGTACAAGTTATATGACCATGTCAGTCAGTACAAGTTATATGACCATGTCAGTCAGTACAAGTTATATGACCATGTCAGTCAGTACAAGTTATATGACCATGTCAATTAGTACAAATTATATGACCATGTCAGTTAGTACAAGTTATATGGCCATGTCAGTTAGTACAAGTTATATGACCATGTCAGTTAGTACAAGTTATATGACCATGTCAGTCAGTACAAGTTATATGACCATGTCAGTTAGTACAAGTTATATGACCATGTCAGTTAGTACAAGTTATATGACCATGTCAGTTAGTACAAGTTATATGACCATGTCAGTCAGTTCAAGTTATATGACCATGTCAGTCAGTACAAGTTATATGGCCATGTCAGTTAGTACAGGTTATATTTGCAGTATCTATCACCATATTTCTATTGTGTAACTAACACAGTTAGACCTTTTTGGCATATTCTGACCTATTTTTTGTAATTTATATGGATTTTAAGTGTTGTTAACAATGTGTAAATTACATTCTTTGTGCACTTGACACTTCTCTTTTTTAAAAAAAAAACATTTAAAATTTTTCGTGAAAATTAGCATGAATCTGGAGGCATGATGCTTTAAAATTGTCTTGGAAAAACCAATTTTACAAATATACAGTAATAAACACAGACAGTACACATATATGAAGGTCAATCCTTTAACCAATGTCACGATCTCAAGAAAATAATATTCTTTTGGACAGAAATAAAAGAAGACCTACACAACACCTGAGACAAGTTTTCATTTCTAAAATGAACAGTAGATTTTAAAACTTTTATCAACTAAAAGTTTGGACACTATTAGTTTTTGACCATGTTAGTGGAAAAATTTATGTGTATTTGTTGTACAGAGGTGAATGAATAAAAGAAATAAACTTACTTTGACCCATGAAAAAAAAAATTTTGCAATTGAACCCTCAGTAATAAATGAATATTTGATGATTACAAAGATTCTGTAGCAAAATAAAAATTCTTCCTGGTTAAAATAAAGCCATCTCTCGATATCTTTCAGAAATACATTGACAGCAACTGTCTCAATATAGTTGTCAACTTGGTGCAATAACTGAGTAACTGCTATTGAATTTAGAAGGACTTATCCTGTTATTGCACTTAAACAATGAATTTTTCTTTGTCACCAGCACTCTGAATATAGCATTATCAGAACCTTGCTTTCAACTATTTGCTTGCTTATCAATTTCAAATCTAATAGCAAAGTTCATATGTCTGAACCATGTGTGAAACAAAAATAAACTCACCAAATACAGTGCTAGAGTATCAACAAGATCTTTTCCCAAGACAGATTTGAGAATTTTATTTTGGGTGCTGATCAGGAAGGTGGACAGTAACAGGAAGGGAAGTAACATTCCGAGAAACCCGTATGACGCCCCTCGTACACGAGATTTCAAATTCTGAGATGATGTTGCACTAGAATATAAGAAAATAAAGATTAAATCATCAATTGCAGAAACATAAAGAAATGATTTTCAATCAAAGAATCAATAAAGTTTTTATCAACTAAATTTCAAAAGTTTGTGTATGTTACAAATTGGTATTTTCGGAATGATAATGCAAAAATAGAAAAATACTTTGCATCATCCATGTTTCAATAAAATGAAAAGAATTAATCTCAAGATAATAAAAACATTTGTATTGTTAAAATTCAATCAAAGATATCATACATTTCTATTGTTTAACAAGAGGTGCTAAATCCACCTATATAATTAGTCAATTGCAACTCTTTGCCCTCAGGTTACCTTACATGATATTCAGGTTTTTGTGACCTTTAAATCTTTCTTAATCATGTTGTTTAAAATGATATGTTACACACAGTTTCAATTTATATGCAATGTGTCTAAATATTTCTATTTTAGGTAGGGGGAAAAAGGACCTCAGTGGCTTAGTGGTTAAGGTTGCAAACTTAATATCACTTGTTCATTGTCACTGTGGATTCCAAGGTAAGTAGTAGAGCTCAAGTGCCTGTTTGTAGCCTGAAAAACTGTATAGAGGGGCACCTGAAGTCTACTTTATCATTAGTTTTATTACCTGTACAGTTTTAGTATCATTTGACCCTAACTCAAAAGATTTTAAGGTAAATACATGAAAGCAGTACCAGTCTAGAGCTCACAAATGTGAATGGTTGGCCCTTGCAACTTTATAAAATTGACCTTCCACAGGGGCAGGAAGAAACACTCAATATGTGCCCTTTTTTAAATTAATCATATATATATACATATACATATATATATATAATCAGGTTCAAAATCCACCTACCTATCAGTTGCCAGCTTGTCTTCGACAGCATGTGCTATCTGGTCACAATCACGTTCAAGGGAGTTAAGCGTGTTCTGTATTGTCTGATTGATCGTCTTTTCAATCTCCTTACAAACTTCCTCAATCTGATTAGTACATCGTGCACCCTACAATCAATTTGTAAAGAATTATAAATAGACCTACTTGTTTTGTTCCATATTATCAGAAGCTTAATCAAACAGTGGCTCATTCTGTAATGGCATTTACCTATTTTTCAGCAAATAACTAGTAATTCATCCACAAGCTTTGAAGATATACGAGTACTGCAATTCACATCGTAAATCTTTACAAATTGTTTAATTAATTCAAGCTTGGATATGATTTTATATGAACAGTCCTAGCAACCAAGAAAAAAACAAAGATTACTAGTACTTACTTGGTTACTTACTTTAGAGTTCATAGAAGGCACGTAGATTGTTGGCATATCAAAACCAGTCCTGTTCAGGTTCGGGCGCTTGCATAACTCTTGTACAATCTGCATCATAACTCTCTGAAAAGATGGCAAATACGGATACAAAATTTAAATTTTCTGAAAGCATTGCAAACATGGATACAAAATCTAAATTTTCATAAGGGAAACAAATTTCCTGGTATCTAGACAGTTCAACAATATTATATGATTATAACATAAAATTTCTACCACTAATGTGAAGTCTGAAGCCTGTTAAACAAAAATTTAAAATTTGACCGATTCCCTGCTTTGTAACTGACAAATGGGTCCTTTGTTAATATAAAATACATGCACACATTCAACTTAAAGGAGTCCATTGAGCACTCGCCAAAACATTATCAATTTCTTATTTTCCTTTCCTATTATTTCATTTACTGTTAAGTGCAGTTGCCCATATTCAGCTACGCCCTTCCAGGGTAAGTTTATTTTTGGGTAATACATGATACAGTAGTTGCCCCACTCCAGATGTGAAACTCTTTCTTTTACATGCCTGGTGTGAAGCAGGGATATACAAGACATTGGTTTGAAGGATCTTATCTGTAAGACCATTAGTTTTTCTAGAGGGGGAAAGGGGGAATCAGTCTTACACTTAACACTAACCCCCCCCCCCCCTCTGCCCCACCTGCACATTTTCATTAGAACAGATGCGTTCCTATTAACAATCTAAACAGAAATTTTATTACATATACTAGATATAACAGGAACAAGGGAAACAACTCTTGCTATCGAAAATAACAAGGGCAATAACTCTTACCTGTCTATCACTTTCAAGTCCAGCCTCATCAGCTTTGCTCAGGTAAAATTTCATTCTCTCAGCATGTTTCTGGCTTAACTCCTCTACAATATTCAACGTTCTCTTGCACAGAGCTTGGCCGATTGGATCGAAGAACACAAATATCAAGTCAGCTAAATCTCCTACAAATAAAATAAAGCAATAATTGTAAATTAACATATCACCATGCAGATATTTTTACATATTGTAGAATAAAGCTTCAGCAGGTACTAACAGCAGGGCAAATGTATTTAATATTTGCAATAAAAACCAAAAAATATCAAAACATCAAGCAAACTTAAGAAAAAAAATTAAGAAAATTAACGAAGTCAGCATAAACATCAGGAAAATTGCATCAACAAACAACAAGTCAGCATAATTATCAGGTAAACTACATCAGAGAATCACCAAGACATTAACATCAGATAAACTACATCAAAGATCATCAAGACAGCAGAAACATCAGGTAAACTACATCAAAGAATCACAAAGTCAGTAGAAACATCAGGTAAACTACATCAAAGAATCACTAAGTCAGCAAAAACATCAGGTAAACTACATCAAAGAATCACAAAGTCAGCAAAAACATCAGGTAAACTACATCAAAGAATCACAAAGTCAGCAAAAACATCAGGTAAACTACATCAAAGAATCACAAAGTCAGCAAAAACATCAGGTAAACTACATCAAAGAATCACCAAGTCAGCATGAACATCAGGTAAACTACATCAAAGAATCACAAAGTCAGCAGAAACATCAGGTAAACTACATCAAAGAATCACAAAGTCAGCAGAAACATCAGGTAAACTACACCAAAGAAACACCAAGTCAGCATGAACATCAGGTAAACTACATCAAAGAATCACAAAGTCAGCAGAAACATCAGGTAAACTACATCAAAGAATCACAAAGTCAGTAGAAACATCAGGTAAACTACATCAAAGAATCACAAAGTCAGCAGAAACATCAGGTAAACTACACCAAAGAAACACAAAGTCAGCATGAACATCAGGTAAACTACATCAAAGTATCATCATATCAGCATTTACATCAGGTAAATTGTGTCAACCTATATTAAGCCAGCAAGAACAAATTGCATCAAAGAAATGCTAAGGCAGCAGCAATATATCATTAAAGATATGCCATGTCAGTATTATTTCTTTTTCTAACAGGTGTCAAGTCAGTAAATATATTAAGGAAATGTCAATTCATTATTACCAAGCAATTTTCAATTAAGAAAATTCCAAGTCAATAAAAACACAAGGCAAACTTAGTAATAGAAATGCTATATCTTCCTTGGTGAAATGCCAAATCTGCATATCAGGCATACTTCATTACAGAAATGCAAAATCTGCATAAAAATAGGCATACTTCAATAATGAAATTCCATATCTTCAGGCATACTTCACTAAAGAAATATCAAGTTAACATAGTTATCACGCAAATGACTTATTTGAAAATATATGCCAAGTCAGCATTTGCATTAGATATAATTCATTAAAGAAATACAAAATATTTATCTTTAAATAACAGGCTAACTTATATAATGAAATGCCAAATCTGCATAAATTTCAGGAATACTTCATTAATATCAGGCAATTTACAGCATAAAAGACTGCCAAGTCAATGTAAATATTAAGCAATTTACAGCATAAAAGAAATGCCAAGTGAACATAAATATCTGGCAATTTACTGCATAAAAGAAATGCCAAGTCAACATAAATATCAGGCAATTTACAGCTTAAAAGAAATGCCAAGTAAACATAAATATCTGGCAATCTACAGCTTTAAAGAAATGCCAAGTAAACATAAATATCAGGCAATTTACTGCATAAAAGAAATGCCAAGTCATAATAAATATCAGGCAACTTACAGCATAAAAGAAATGCCAAGTCAACATAAATATCAGACATATTTTATAAAAGTCTTAAGAAATGCCAAGTTTGCATAAATATCAACCAAACTTCATCCACAAGTTACCAAATCAGCATTATTTCTTTTCCTGAAGGTCAGAATGATGATAAATCAAATTTGATCCATAATATTCCTGCAACATGTATTGTGTTACCTTTAAGCATGAAGGAAGACTTTTATAATGTTCCTATTTCTAGAGAAGACGGAGAGAAACATCTCTCCCATATCACTGCACGACTGGAAAGTCACAGAGTTAAGCAACCAATTGCTGTCGCCGCCGAGCTTAAAACATCCATAAATTATTTTTATAAAAGGCTTCTGATACAAAATTTCTGTTATTTTCAATATCTCCATAGAAACCTAATGACAAAGTTTTCATTGCATTTTCTCATAGAATGTTCATTTATCATATAGTTTTATAGCTTGGAGGAAAACATATCTATAAAAGTCTCATATTATGATTATTTGAATTATAATGCACAAAAAAATCCAGACAATGGGTTACGGATGAATAAAAAAAGACTTCTTTACAATTAGCATTTTAAAGGACAGACCTTATATTTACGATTACCCAATGAGCATGATTTACATCACTTTTATGGAGTGGCTGGTGGGCAGTGGATAATGCTTATCTTTGCCCTTACAATATACCAGAAATTTCTTGGCATTATTTCAAAACCGAGGGCAAAACTGCAGTAACCTATAATTATGTAATAAAGAAGGACTTACATCAGTTTTACAGTCAACCTTTGAAATGTACTTTATTTTAAGTTAAAACTTTAAGAAAATTGCATCATAACCCTTTATTTTTAAACTACATCTTTCAAAATAATTATCAAATTCTTGATTGATATCTTCTTTTTTCTTTGTTGATGTCAAAAGAAAACCCTTTCAATATGGAACAGGTCATTACAAGTTCCTTTTATAACCATTCAATAGCTGGAATTAACAATGAATGACCTTTGACATTAGTACACGCTGGCCAGACAGAACATACATAATTATAATCAAGCAATGTTCTAAACTGTTGCCTTACAAACTTCAAATTCTTTTCGTAGATATCTTAGACATAATTTGATAGTTGGACAGTGTTCCAGAAATGGAAGCTCCCAACAAGTCAATTCACATTCTTCAGCATCATGGAAGTTAAAGGAGCTCACCCAAGGTAAAATTAACAGTCTCAAAAAATTAATTTTGTAATTCTTGCATAAATAAAGTGATGAACATAAAAAGGTAAAATCTGCAAAAGATAATAAAGAAATATACTCAGAGTTAAACTGAAAATCGATTTTTGCACGATATTCAGGCTGGTTTGAGTAAAAAGTATTGCAATCCTTTCATTTATTTGGTAATTTTTCACAATAAATAAAAATATTTTTCTTCTTGGAAAACAAAAGGAATGATCTGAAATTTTGCACACACATCAATCATGACTTAATCAAATGTTACACAATTTAAGCCTAAAAAAAAAAAATATTATGCAAAAAAAACCTCAATAAGCCCTTAAAGACTGAATAAAAAATATAACTTTTTTTTTTAAAAATCATTAGACTATCAGATAAAACTAATCACATTTTTAACATGTACAAAAATAAAGCATTTAAATTATTGATATTTTCATAACTGTTTCATATACATGTACACATTAAATGAAGAGAATGCCGCTGCGCATGTACTCTTACAAAACAAAAGCTCAAACACTTAGTATTATCTTGATAATCGGAAAAGCGTTTTTTTTTTCCAAATAGACACTACAGGAGAATTTATTTTTATCTATTATTAAAATCAATGAGACACTGCACTGTCTGCAATACGGATGTCTGTAACAAACAGTTCACGGCCTGGTCAACAGACAACTCGGCTATTGATTTAAGAACACAGATTTAGACTAAACCTTACCAGATAATTGAATTTCACCCCAACCTTGCTATATACTATATTGATAGATCTGTGAATTCCATACCTATATATATCAGATTATGTTATCTCAAACAGCAGCCTCTTACAAATAGTATCAACTAATTTACTTACAGCGCCAAAGAGTTAAAAAAAATGCAATATAGGTTCATAAAGCTATTATGAAGTTATTCTAGCAAAAAATGAATAAGATTCTAATAGCAAAGCAATTAAAATTGTGACTAAATGCTAAACTGTACTATTTGAGCTATGGTGAGGGTCATTACACTTCTGCAATTAAACAAGTTACCTCACAGCAAAGTGGTTAACATGTTAAGACAATACTCTAAAAATCACCAGTCACACGGGTTCAAATCCTATAAGGGAGCCTTTGATTCCTTAAGCAAGAAACTTTAATTCACCATCCATTGAAAAACTTATCTAGATGAAATAATCTTCCCCTATCTAATTGCATGTAGCTTCACATGATTAAAATTCGATAAAATTCTCTTTTTACTGATAAGATAAATTAAAGTAAAACATTTCCATAGTTGTTTCATGTGGAGTCAATGTTAAATTTGCATTTCTCATTTAAACATAAACCATTAAGTTCTATTAGTTAGGGAGAAAGAACTGACCACTTTCAGTTTAGGGAAGCGAACTGCAAGACTACTAAGGAAAGCAAACAGACCATTTTAAGTTGACGGAAGCGAACTTACCACTTTAAAGCTGAGGGAAGCAAACTGACCAAAGCATATCAAAAGTTGAGAGAATCAAAGTGACTATTAAAAGATTTTAAGTTGAGGGAAGGGAACTGACCACTTTAAATTGAGGGAAGTTTACTGACAACTTTAAGATCGAAAAAGCTAACAAACCAATTTCAGTTACGGAAAGTCGAGGAGAGGAAACTGTAAACATTCAGTTAAGAGAAGCAAATTTTTTACACTACAGTCAAACCTGTGTCATACCACTTTTTAATGATGATCACCATTGTAAATAAAGGCCACTCTTTAACAACTCTTCATTGATTAAATAATCAAAGTAAACCTCCAAATAAAGAGTACTTGTCTATAACAGCCTTGTTGAATATCTCCTTTTTCTATGACCTTTGTTCACAGGTTTCACTGTATACTAAAGAACTAGTAAGCTTCTTCCTGATAATACACCTGATGTAAATAAATCTGCATTTTCTACATGCCCGTAGAAGGAGACGTTATACAACAATACACAGGCCTTCGAATCGAAGGAAAAAAAGATATTCCGATATGACACTAATTACTAGCTCCATATTTCTCCAGTCTAGACAGGAAAAATATTATAGGGAAAGCCCGGCAAAAACGCAGCGAATCTTTTGTCAAATTACATCATTCTTACTCATCCTTGTCACGGAATTTGATATACTTCTACAGATGTTTGTCAATTACATCAAATAAATTAATAAACATGTTTACCATTTTCTCTCGTCTTTTGTTTTCAAGGGATTGTTCTATAATTTCCTTGATCTGGTCCTTTTATTACCAGAAAATTGTGTAGTGATGATCAAAATTACGTCTCTAAAGAGATGAAGAAATGTTTCTCAATGCCACCCACAAAAAAAATAAAAAGATCACACTTTAATCTATTTTAATTTGTGTCTTTCATCCGATGAAAACTTTCTCTCTTTTTTGGCGTTATCGAAATGCATTCCACAATTCAATAGGATAAATCAATAATATTTTATATACAGAGATTTCGTCTGATTCTAAAAGGTATTGTCTGCACCTAGGTGATAATCTGACAACATATATGGTAAGATTTTTATCTATCTGTACTTTTCTGAATAGAACTGTTTGTAACTTTGATAACTTCCTACTTTTAATCATTGAAGGGTCATCAAGAACATTGATTTTTTACTATGCAATGAAGACTGTAGAGCTTAAAAATTGTTTGTTTCCTACAAAACACACCCATCAAATATTGTGACTGTAATTTTGATTTTTTCATCCTGCATTTCCATGCAAAATTGTTGGAAAACAGTAGCTAAGTGGGATCCCTATATAAAATGAAAATACACTATCAAAAATGATTATACAAGAAAGGAATATGAATATTTATGAAAAATAAAAATGCTGTATTGAAATACAATAATAATGTTTTGTCTTTTTATAATCACCCGAATTATGTAATATTTTGTATCTTAATCAAGACAATATAAAGTAGTTACCTCCCTTACCAACCCAACCCTAATTGTAGAAGTTTGAAACAGCAAATGAACTAAATTTTAACTATCAAACCTGCTTCATTTATGTGATAGACTTGGACTTGCCTACTTTTAAATTTAAAACAGTCCATTACAAATTTATACAAGATTCTAATGAAATGCCACCAACTGTGGCAATAAGATTAATCAGGGTCATAGCAGGTCATGGGTTTGAAGGCCAGCCATGAGATTACCTAATTAATGATATATTTATCATCACAGAAGATTATGAAATGTGGTAAACCATACATAAATGTCAACCATACATAAAATGTCAACCATACATAAAATGTCAACCATACATAAAATGTCAACCATACATAAAATGTCTACCAAACATAAAATGTCAACCATACATAAAATGTCAACCATACATAAAATGTTAACCATACATAAAATGTCAACCATACATAAATTTTGTAACAGACAACAAAAGAACCTTTTAGAGAATAACATAAATTTTGACAGATTTAAGCAATTAAAATGTAATCCGTTATCAGCAGCAGGTGGTTCTTGGTCTCCTACTTTAATTTTTGAGATTCAAGTTCTAACAATTCATTAAAGATAAACTAGCAAATAAATCGAAAATGATTCTAAACAAGAACCTGAAAACAAAATACACAAACACAAAATACACACACACACACAAAAACAAGCCAGCTTTCTAAAACGTTTTATATAGTAAACAGAACAGTTGTATCATTCAGAATTTGTTAAAAAGCATAATTATAATATAAAACAAGAAACATGGCAATGCCATGAAACCAGGTTTTCAATTATCACCATTGTAGATAAATATGTTGTATTTGAAATACAAATACAAGCAACAAACAATGTAACTAAGTGCAATGTAATACATGAATAATGTAGGAGGAATTGCCACAGAGGAAGTGTTCACTATAATTATATTCTGTATAAGGAAAAAAAAACAAAGGGCCATAATTAAATAAAAAATTATTCAATCACAAAACCCCGACAATATGCACCAGGGCACTGGATGACAAAGCTACTGTGAAAGTTTGAAAAAAATCCGTTGAGAAATGTAGGAGTTCAGCACTGAAAATTTTTTTCACTATATATTCTGTATAAGGAAAAATAACAAAGGGCCATAATTAGGTCAAATATTATCCAATCACAAAACCCCCATAATGTGCGCCAGGGCACTTGATGACGAAGCCTCTGTGAAAGTTTGGTCAAAATCTGTTGAGAAATGTAGAAGAAGTTGCGCATGGTAAAAATTGTTCACTATATAATCTGTATAAGGAAAAAAAACAAAGGGCCATAATTAGGTCAAATATTATACAATGACAAAACCCTGACAATATGCCCTAAGGCACTTGATGACAAAGCCTCTGTGAAAGTTTGGTCAAATTCCGTTGAGAAATGTAGGAGGAGTTGCGCACAGAAAATTGTTCACTATATATCCTATATTGGGAAAAAAAACAAAGGGCCATAATTAGGTCAAATATTATTCAATCACAAAACCCCGACATTATGCACCAGGGCACTAGATGACAAAGCCTCTGTGAAAGTTTGGTCAAAATCCATTGAGAAATGTAGGAACAGTTGGGCACAGAAGAAATTATTCACTATATATTCTATATAAGGAAAAAAAACAAAGGGCCATAATTAGGTCAAATATTATCCAATCACAAAACCCCGACAATATGCGCCAGGTCACTTGATGACAAAGCTTCTGTGAAAGTTTGGTCAAAATCCGTTGAAAAATGTAGAAGAAGTTGCGCACAGAAGAAATTGTTTACGCCCGCCCGTCCGCCCGCCGACATACCTCAATCTAATAACCAGTTTTTTCCTTCGGAAAACCTGGTTAACTATAACTTGCCCAGCTTGGAAAACATCTTTAGTACCAAGAGCTGTAGCTTATGAAAATCTTGCTTACATAAAAAATAGTGATAGTCAATAGCAGTACTACAAATATTTTTCACCGGGCCCCAAGATGAAAATATACTGATTTGAAATAAGCCAGTAGATGAAAATGTTTATTCTAATTACTAACTCCAGATAAAAATACATGATTGTAGTTTTTCCAATTACTAACTCTAAATGAAAATACTGATTCTTGAAGAAAATTTTTACTTCGATAACCTGCCCAAGATTAAAATACTTATTTCAACAACCAACTGTTAACTTAAATGCTAATTTCATTAACCTACGCTAGACGAAAAAGATTTCAATAACCAACCCTGAAAGAAAATGCTTATTTCAATAACCAAAAACACTGCCCTTGGTGAAAAATTTTACTTTGATAACCTGCTCTAGTTTAAAATGTTTATTCCAATAACCAACTCTAGATGAAAATACAGATTTCAATAACTTGTCCTAGATGGAAATATTGGTTTCAACCACCAACTCTGGCTAGAAATACTGAATTCAAACAGCAGTAAAGAGACATCTTTGATACATACCTAACCACAGAATGGATTTATTCACATCAAATGGATACTTCATATCACCATCCACAAGACCTGGTGTATCAACAAATGTGACCAGACTGAATTTCTTCTGTTTAGATGTGGAGATTTCAGTTCCAAGGTAATCTGTAACCCCTGAAAAATTGTACAACATTCTGTTACCCCTGAAAACTTTTACAACATTCTGTAACCCCTGAAAATTTTATACAATATATTCTGTAACCCCTGAAAACTTTTACAACATTCTGTAACCTCTGAAATACAACATTCTGTAACCCCTGAAAAAATTGTACAACATTCTGTAACCCCTGAAAAAATTGTACAACATTCTGTAATCTATGAAATACAACATTCTGTAACCCCTGAAAAAATTGTACAACATTCTGTAATCTATGAAATACAACATTCTGTAATCCATGAAAAAATTAAAACAACATTCTGTTACCCCTGAAAACTTTTACAACATTCTGTAACCTCTGAAATACAACATTCTGTAACCCCTGAAAAAATTGTACAACATTCTGTAACCTATGAAATATAACATTCTGTAACCCCTGAAAAAATTAATACAACATTCTGTAACCCCTGAAAAAATTAATTCAACATTCTGTAACCCCTGAAAAAATTAATACAACATTCTGTAACCCCTGAAAAAATTAATACAACATTCTGTAACCCCTGGAAAATTTATACAACAGAACTGTGCACAATGAAAATATGAGTGGTCCATCACTCCGTTACTAATATGGTACAATTCTGTATCTTGTTTTCCTGAGGTCAACTTTCAAATCAGTCCCTCCCCTTCCCCCACCAATGATTTTTAATACAAAACATTATTATTAAAATTCAATAATATTTTAAATCATTTTTATACAGGGCAAGGCCAAGAGTGTTCAAATATTTTCAAGATTTAAACAACAATTAACCATTCTTCAGAAACTTCAACAAACATTTTTTTCTAATTAATTTTCATTCTGGCATACATGTATGTATAACAACATACACATGTATAACAACAATTTCACAATACACAGTCTTTCATCAGTTATGGTCTGTTTCCAAACTGCTCCTTATCTTTAAGCTTCGATGGAACAGGAGTGCATGGTTTTATCATAGCTCTCTAGGTTACTGGTACATTCAAGGTAGAACACCACTAAAAACTTCCCTTCTTTACTTCTATACAAAATAACACTGTATCTTAAAACAAAAACATCTGAATTCATTCATTTTAATTGAAAACAAGAAATTGAAAAGATTAAACAATATCTTTGTTATGACTTTTAACTTAACACTAAAGCACTAAATCGCAATGACGTTCAGATTAATTTCATAAAATGAACAAAATGATATATCAATATTAAAAGGGATATTTTGGTAAATTGACGACATTGTATGTTAAAGGTACACTATTAAAATCTTAATATTCGTAGCTTATAATGCAATAATAGTTTCATTTCTTTTCTAAATGTTAAATGTCTCTGAAAATTAAATGTCTCTGAAAACAATGGCAATTCTGCAAGTACATAAATGTATCAAGATCTAACTTCAAGACCTTGCTCTGCAACAAAATTAATAAAAGCAAAAGTCAAACTTCAGCAAAGTAAAGTTAACATCAAATCTTAGTAAATTTAAATAAAAAAAAAAAATCATGTCTGCAAATAGTAACAATGTCTATTTTCTCTAGACTTTTTATTGAATATTACATAATTTGTCCTTCATATGAAGTTTTATTTCGAAGGTATTAAATACTTGTGGCTAAATTGAAAGCTATAAACTCCTATATTTCTACTTTAGTTGCCAATAGTCAGTTCATTAATATCTATATCACTACATACAAGACCTTAATGTACGAAAAATGCTTTTCTCTGTTATAATCATAATAACAAAGAGAAATTTCAAATTCTCGGCTTTTAAACAAAACAAAAAATTCAACATTGTTCACATTCAAGGCAGTGAATTCCCATTTCAGTTTGAAGCACAATTGCCAGCATAATATACAGATCATAATTTACACATCCAAGTACCATCACAATCTTTCCTCCATTATTTTTGTAGCCATGTTGTCAGTCTTAATATATGTAAAACAATACAATTAATCACTATTAACTGACTGTAAATAATTCTGATGTCCATTCATGTCCACTCTTGTCCAGAAGCTGAACCAATACTCTTGAAATCCCTTCTTCTGTTTTTTTGTGTTTCGTTTTTTTTTGTTGTTGTTGTTTTTTTCCTTAATTTTTCCCAACTTCTACAATTTCAGCTAATTGCTGTTTTCTGAAGATTCTATGTGCCTAGGGATCTAATGGGCCTCTTGTAATATTTTGATAGTGAAATAATTCTATGGCCCTCTTGTAACAAGGTCAACAGCCAAATTTATCTCTTTATCCCGAAGCATATTTTGCATCAATGTTAACAGTTGCATAGTCCAAATGCTATTTTGAAATGTCAACAGCCAAATAATCATCCAAAAATAGTTTCAAGGCTATTTCAACCCAATGCTGTTTTTATAAATGTCAATGCCCAAAATTTTATAGTCCCAAGGCCATTTCAACAGATAAATAATCCCATTGCTGTTTTAATCAATGTCAATGCCCAAATAATCCCAAGGCTATTTGCATTCATGTCAACAGCCAAATAACTGGATGAATTATAGTGTCAAGCGTAGCCACACAAAAAAGCATGGGGCAGGTTTGTGACAATTTTTCCAGCCAAAAAAGTCTTTGATGTGAGACAATGATTGTGGTTAACCAAATAATCCTTCATTAATGTTACCAGTCAAATACCCCTTGACTGTTTTGAGTTTTTTTTATTGCTAGCTTAATAATCTTATGACATTTTTTGTGATAATGTCAACTGCAAAATGATTTATTTGCTATTTTGTGACAATGATTACACCTTTATAATTACAAAGCTTTCTGTGGTGATGTAAACAGCATTGTTATTTGAGATAATGTTCACAGCCAAAATGCCTTTCTATGACAAAAGTCTTTAGCCAAATTATTGTATGTCTAGGACAATGTTGTTAACCAAATTAGCATTCGCAAAATAGTCTGCTAATGTTCAACAATGATTCCAACAGCTATACCATTCCATTGTAGTTTTGCAGTGATGTTAACAGCCCTTCATTTGGCAGCTCTCTACACTGAAGCATGAGACATCTGCACAAAGGAAGAACTGCTAATACCACTCTTCTTTACAACCATCATCTTTATCATGAAAGCTGTCGTATTTCAATTTTATTAACAATATTGACAATACATTTGGTATGCAACACAACAGTCAGTTTTCAAGGCAATTGGCATAAGGTTATATCACTACCTATTCTCATGAACTGTGTATTGTTGCAATCCTTTGGCAATTTATTACCTAAGCAAGGTGATATCCTGACCAACCACCTGATTTTTTCAGGCAGGCAAGTTGATATTCTACAAAGCATAGCTGATACTCTCAGGTGATACAGTAGGTAAGTTGATATCTTTTAAAACAGAAGTTGTCACTCCAGGAAAGCAAGTTGATATCCTTAGCAGACAAGTTGATATCCTTGGCAGGCAAGTTGATATTCTATACAGACAAGTTGATATACCAGGCAGACATGTTGCTAACCTATGCAAACATGTTGGTATCCTACACAGACATGTTGTTGTCCTAGGCAGACAAGTTGATGTCCTAGGCAGACATGCTGATATCCTAGACAGAGAAGTTGATATATGCAGATATGTTGTTATCCAAGGCAGACAAGTTGATATCCAAGGCAGACAAGTTGATATCCTAGGCAGACAAGTTGATATAGGCAGATATGTTGTTATCCCAGACAAACAAGTTGATATAGGCAGATATGTTGTTATCCCAGACAGACAAGTTGATATGATAGGCAAATATGTTACTATCCTAGGTAGACAAGTTGATATACCAGGCAGACATGTTGATATCCTAGACAGACAAGTTGATATCCTACACAGATATAAGTTTAGGCAGAATAAGCTGATTTTCTAGGCAGACAAGTTAAAACTTTAGGCAAACAAGTTAAAACTTTCGGCAGGCAATTTCATACTCTAGGCAGGCATATTGATATCCTAGGCAGACGAGTTTTTACTTACGACAGATAAGTTGATTTTCAAGCCAGACATGGGTGACATGTTAATATTTTATATCTTAATTTGGCAGGTTAGATAATACCCTAGACAGACAAATCAATACTTAAGGCAAACCAGTTGTTGATATATTCTAGGCAGGAAAGTTCATATCCTAGGCAAACAAATCAATATTCCAGGCAAGAACGTTGATGTACAAGACGATCAATTCAATATTCCAGGCAGGCAAGTCAATATTCCAGGCAAGAAAGTTGATATCCTATGCAGACAAGTTATAACTTTAGGCAGAAAAGTTTATTTTCTAGGCAAGAAAGTTGTTATTCACCTAGAAAGGACAGCTCTTCATCAGGCAGCTTGTTATCTAACCCAAGGCTACCCGATGATGAGCTGACTCTCAGGGGTGACCTCTGTACGACCTTGATAACTTTGACCTTGATATCTACTGAATCAAAGTTCATACTTCTGTGCAGTCATCCTGGGTGACTGTACTAGCAAGTTGAAAGTCTGTTGTGCACAAAAGGATTAAATATCCTGTGCAGGATGGTGGGATCCTGACCTAGAAATTGATATTCTATCAAGACATGTTGACATTTCACGCATGCAAGCGTATATTCCACAACAGTAAGACAAAATCTTAAATCTTGACATATAACTTTCAAAAAAAATACATATAGAATAATGGGTACATAATGTATGCTTCTTGTATAACAATAGTTTCTGGCATATACAAAGTTCCAAAGCATAAAGGATAAAATAGAATTTGTCATAAAAATTATTACAATTCTTTTTTTGAATAAATATATCAAGTTTGTGTCCATGAAGCAATAAAGAACTGCCATTTCCTTCAAGGTACTAGAAATAAAACTGGCCAACATAACATGGGATTTTTCTCCGTCACCATGCAAGGGGCTGCTAGAAGACCCAATTCTCAATCCAAAATAACCTCATTTCCCCAATTTCAAGAAATAATTTTACACAAAGTTACAAAAATAATCTTTGTATTTTTTCAACTGCTGAGAAAAAATTAACCATCTCAACTTGTTTCTGAAAAGGTTATTTGATCTTTGTATATGGTAGTTTTTAAAAATTTTCAAGATATTTTTTCCCAATTAAAGTCATTGAGGAGCCTTTTACCAAAAGCTGGGAAACAACTGGTAAGAATTTAAATACTAGTAAAAAGGATTACCCTCAATCTGTCGCAGTGGTTCAAAGTGTGGGTACAGGTGAAGAGTGGCATTTCCCTGAAAAACACAAAATTACTTCATTTTATTATCTTTATAAAACTATTATATCCATCAGGCATTCATGTACATGTAATTAACAAACCACAATTATAGACTCAAACAATAAGAACAAGTCTATATTCACTCAACCATTGTAGCCACAACATTGTGAAAGTTGCAGAACTGTCAGTATACCTGTCCCAAAATATTATTTAGATTACATTTGTACATATTAGTTAGATTGTGTAGGAAGCCATAAGAAACACTGTGGAAGCTGTTCCAGGAGCAGACCAGTTCTAAGCTGTAAATGTCAGAAGTTTCTTGTTGAAAGAAACAACAACTTGCCCTTTAAGGGATTTAAACCCACATGGCCCAGTTGATAACAACTCATTCACATTTCCAAATCATCAATTTACCAGGGCAGCCTGTATTTCAATAAAAAAATCAATTTATCTTTAAATGGATGGTACCAAGTTCAAAGCAATGCATATCCATGCAGCTTTAATATAGGAAAATATGTACCAAGTTTGCTAATTTAAGCTAGAAACCAAATTTGTGCGAGTAAAACTATATTCAATATTTCATAAGAGCTTTAATTTACATCAATATTTGTTTGTTTTTGTACAAACAGAAATGTAGAAACAAAAAAACTTACATAATGATAATTATGCTCTTAATTTAAGTTTTTACTTCAACACAAATACAACACACAAATACAATACAATGTATATCTATTGTTAAGGTTGAGTATACTGTAATAAAGTAGCTTTTATGGCTAATTTAACGTAAATTGTGTAAATTTTCTTTAAAATCCCACATACAGATATAGAAAATTTATCGTCTTTTTTTAAGAATGATGATGAAAAAGCATGCAAAAAAGAAGGTAAAAGTTCCCCATGTGAAGAAAAAAACCTTTGTAATACCCAGCTGGTAAACTTTTTACTGTTCAAGTTTTACCCCGGCATTGATGCTATAAACTGCATATGGTCCATTAACTACCTAACAAACCAAACTGGTGTATTTCAAACCTTACAGGGATGGTTTTATTTTACATGGTATGTGAATCTATCATATATAACTAAATACATCAAAACAGACTACAGACAGCGGGGAGGAAAAACTGCCGACTCAGCTAATTTCATCTGAATTCCCCCAATACACACGGGCATGAAATGCAATTGACTTCTGCGATTAACATGCATGCTTTATGATGAGCCGAAATCAATTTTTTAACGGAACAATAAATGCATACAAAGATAATTAATCCAGAAATCAGACAAATTTTTTATACATAATTATGGAATATCCGATTCTCCTGGTTTTATGTTTCTATTTTTAAACACTGAAGCTCCAATAAAAGATATTTGTACCAAGGATGTATATAAATAATTGCCGCAGACAAATTCTCACAAACTTAAATGGCAGAAGACATCCTGTTTTGTCTGCAAAATAAATCCTAAATCATGCCACAGACGGGTACCTTTAATTAAACATAGTTCAGTCGTTCAATTAAAGCTTTAACAAAGTCTTTTTTGTTTTAACAGTCTCAGACTACATTTCTCTTTAACTTACAGTTAGAGATTCTCTTTTACGTCCACTTGTAACAAATGTAAATCCCTGAGTTTCTATAGCAACGCCTGTCTTCTGTACATGCTCTTCAACGTACCTGCAAATGGAAATGGACAAAAATTTAACAAAAAACAAAAATACAGTTCCCTGTAAAATATATGACTGAACAAAATTTTCAACATGACAAGATATAAATAATTACATTTTACATGCAAAGCTTCAAAACATTTCAAAAGAAGTTAACAGCATGCAAAACTAAGTCCCATACTGGCCCCACTCAAGTACCTTTATTGGCCTTAGGTGGTTAAAGTTTTGCCTCTCAGCCTAGATTTGTGTGTTTGAGCCCTACATATTTGCAACAACATGGCTTCCTCATTTGAGACAAAGACTGGGTAGTTCCAGGAAGCAGACAAATTTGCAGGAACTTGTTACACAATCAAGTTTTAAACTAACAAATGAATCACAGTAACCATATTAATGATAACAGAGTTACCATGTTAATTATAATCAATCTATAGAACCATATTTTGACTATTTTCATCAGCAACCATATTTTAACAAGAGCTGTCGGTAGGACAGCATGCTCGACTATTCTAAGTGCTTGATAGTAAAAGAGCCTTGATATTGTTAAATTTTTTAAGTTCACAAAAGGGCTAATTTTTTTTTATAAATTCATGTTATAGGCCTTAGAGAGAGTCTAATTATACAGAATTGGCTTGACTATTCGGAAGGTAATGTCACAAGGGTTTTTTATTGAGTATAATAATACTAATTACCTATGAATACATAAATTTGACAGAAAAGGTACAAAGGTTTGTTATTAAGATGTTTTATCAAGTAAATCACTGCTTTATTATTATGAATGCATAAAATTGTCCCAAAAAAGGCACAAACCCTTCAGTAGTTATTGAGATAACAGCTTACAAGCAAAACTTTACCATGAATTTCTAAGTTGAAAAAGGGGAGAAAAATCAGCCTAAATGCAAGATAGAATTATGGATCTTTGTCAGTGACCTACAATTATGACCCTAAATGCATATGTGAAGTTTTAAATAAATATCTTTAATAGTTATTGAGATATGTTAAACTTGCATGTAAACATTAACCAAGAAACTAAGTAGAAAAGGGGATATGAATCAGCCTTAATGCAAGATAGAGTTATGGAACTTGGTCAGTGACATACAATTATAACCCTCCAATTATGACCCTAAGTGCATGTGTAAAGTTTCAAGTAAATATCTTTGAAGACCGTTAACCTTTAACAAAAATTTCTAAGTTTCAAAGGGGCAAATAATTCTGCAAATATTGCAGACAGAGTTATGCAATTTTGCAAACTGATGTACATTGTTACTATAAATAAGTATTTTAAATTTCAATTGAATATCTTAAGCAATAATTGAGATATTTGACTTTACAAAAAAACTTTAACCAAAATTTTTAAGTTCCAAAGGGGCATAATTCTGTCAATATGGTAGGCAGAGTTATCCAACTTGTCAATCTGATGTACATTGTTACTATAAATAAGTATTGTAAGTTTCACTTGAATATCTCAAGCAATAATTGAGATATTTGACTTTACAAAAAACTTTAACCAAAATTTCTAAGTTAAAAAGGGGCATTATTCTGTCAATATTGTAGGCAGAGTTATCCAACTTGTCAATCTGATGTACCTTGTTACTATAAATAAGTATTGTAAGTTTCAATTGAATATCTCAAGCAATAATTGAGATATTTGACTTTACAAAAAACTTTAACAAAAATTTCTAAGTTAAAAAGGGGCATAATTCTGTCAATATTGTAGGCAGAGTTATCCAACTTGTCAATCTGATGTACATTGTTACTATAAATAAGTATTGTAAGTTTCAATTGAATATCTCAAGTAATAATTGAAATATTTGACTTTACAAAAAACTTTAACCAACGCAGACGCCAACGCGGAAGCTGACGCCGACACCGACGCCGACGCCGGGGCGACTACAATAGCTCTCATATTCTTCGAATAGTCGAGCTAAAAAGCAAAATACATGTAGTCATGCTTACTTGTCATTTAACCACACTTATTTTAGGACCAATCTATGAAAGACTAATTTCGACTACAGGTATATATTTAAATTCAGAATACGGCAAAAACAAACCACAAAATAATGTGCAATAGTCTCCATACTGCTGTACATATTATTAAGTTCCATGAACCTATCAGAGGGGTAACTATAATGCAATGGCTTATAAGCAATTTGGATGCGAAAAAATAAAATCAGCATATAACTAGATACTCTTATTAGAAAGCCTAACTATCTAACTGTTCATTAAATTAAATGAACAGGATGCTTAGTTAAAGTCCAAAATAAAAATCTAACATTTTTGTACAAAATTATAGCAACCAAAAACCATGTCATTGCATTTTTACCCAATTTTCCACCCTTTTTACCACATACCCTACCCTTTGTACGTGATACATCAAGTTCTGTACCCACTCACCTTCAATCTCTAAGTGACACCTAAAACAACCTTTAAACTTAAAGATAAACCTCAAAATACTGTAATATCACACTTACATCTTTATACTATAGCACACCTCATATTTCTTCAACAAAAGCAGAAGAGAAATCAAACGCAGATTTCAAAAAAACCTGAACCTTCCTTTGAATAACTTATACATATGCATAATTACACGAGGATTGACAGACCAAAAATTACTGCACTGAACAATTCTGCAAGTTCTGCACAAAAACCTCTCTTGGTTTCAGGGAAATATGCCAAACATTTTAGCCATAAAAAGTAATTTCTTCCATATTCGCCTGTCTGCAACATATCCCTAAAGACTGTGAGCAGTTTGAGTCTATTTTACTGGAAGGCATTTACCAATATATACCGAAAAACCAAATTATCTCTTGATAGTTAATATTCTTTACAGCATGGTACCGGAAAAAAAAAAGCATGGTTTTAGGAAATTCACCAAAATTCATTGACACTCCTAAAATTTTGTAACAAACTAACAGCATTTGCCATTCGGGACAATAGTAAATGGACTTTAGCCAAATATTACCTTTTTGTATCTATTTGTCCATAAAATACAACACTCTCAAAACGGGAATAAAATGTTATATGCTTTTTGAACTATTATAATTATACAATTTCATGAACACTTGTATCACTTCAAAACAAGCATAAAGAAATAAGGAAAATAGTTAAGTGTGGTACACCCTTGGTATTATACACATTCTTGAACATTAAGCCTTCTGGAGCTACCAAAATCATGCAACCAGTGCAGACAAAGATCAGCTGGCAATGTCAGGGCTGTCTGATCATGCTCTGCAAAATTTGCTATTCAATCCGTACATATATTGATATTTTCCCCAAATATGATGAATAGTTAAAAAAAAAAATGTAAGATATTTAGTGACTGTTAAAGGTCATTGGCATCTTAAGTATTTTTAACATTTTAAAATCCAATATAATTAGACATCTTAAATATAAATATAAATGTTGAAATGTTGAAAATACAGATTGACAATGATTACATAAATATCTGAATATTTGATTCTGTCAAGACTTTTCTCATGTAGAATTTGATACATCCCCCTTCTGGCAACCCCTTGATGTACCTCTTTGATAGGGGGCGGCGCCAAAAAAGTGATCACTTTTTTAACAACATGTCTCAAAGGAAAAACAGTGTTTTGGGGTCTAAATAGGGCACTTTTTCACTATTTGAGGCCTCAAAAAGGGGGGGGGGGGGGGGGAGTGAAAGCCTTCAAAACATGCCTATATGAGGTATAAGATGACATCTGGTATTTCCATTCACCATTAAATTTTCTATTTTCAATTGCAACAGGTTGACGATTATTCCTTAGTCAAAAGCTTGTGACTGTTTCATTTAAGGATTTTCTGATTACCTTGCCAATTATCAATGAGTTATATTCAAAAAAGCAAAGTTCATTAACAACAAATGACACTGAAATTTTAATGATATACAATTATATATTTTATTTTCTTATTATTTGAATTATATATTCCTTTTAAACATACAAAGTAGTCTATAGCTTGGCAAGGCAAAGCCTGGGCGTGTAAAGACCTTTGACTTCCCCTTATAAAAGGTACTGGTAAATATTAGCACAAACCAAATATCAAAGAAACCAGTGCAGAATAAATGACATTGCTACATGTAAGTGCAACAGACAGATGGACAAACTATCAACTACATAGTTATTACATACTCCACAAATAGAAAATTCCAGAAGCGTACAAAATTGAAAAACTAAAATGTGAATTTTTTCATGCCATTCCCAAAATCCGGAAAAATTGATTTTCTTCGAAACTTCGGCGGTTTCTTCTGGAAGATCGATGTGTTACTACTTTACATATAATAATCATACTCATGAAATTATGCAGTCTCAAATTAGCAGAACAGCTCAGTTGTCTGGGACAACAATTTTTACCTCGCAGAACAACTAAATTTCTCATGTTTTAACCAAGCAGGCATGCAGATTTCCTTCTTTGAACAAAAATAAAAATCTTTTCAGTTTCTTTATGGAAGCCATATAGTTCAAACACTTTTTATTATACCAATTAACACACATTTCCAACATTATTCTAAGTACATGACTCTAGTACAGCTTAAAATAGAACACAAATCTTTAGAGCAACACTCTTACGTGTAAAAAACAGCTTTGCATAAAATTCACTAAAGCAAAAATAAAAGTGTATTTCAGACCAAATATCACTTGGAGAAATAAAACCCATAAAAATTCTTATATTTTATTCAAATGTTTGTACAAGGAACACATTATACAAGGCATTTTCAAGAGGGGAAAAAAGTCGGAATTAATCAGTCAATCATTTTGGAATCTTTAGGTCAGAAGAATTTCAATGAACTTGAATTTAAAATCAGATTGGTAGTCTCATTATCCTGAAAAACTAAACCATGTCTCCAATCTAGGTCACACGAGTACAATATTGAAATACTTGATTGATAAGTCCCACAGAAGCCTGGAAGGCATTAAAGCCTGCATCTTTAAATAAATGGAAATTGCTTGTTTTAAGTTTTTTAACCACCTTATTTGCAGCTGTATGAACTAGTTTCCAGATATGCTATAAGAC